ATCGTATTTTTCTTAAAGATCTGAATTGTGCGTTTTGTGCAGGCAGCGGAGAATAGGACTAAAGAAAGGAAACGATAGAATTGAGAAGGACTCTTCAGGTTGACGATCTTACTGGTTAGCGGAATGAGGGACTCGTCCGTGGTCTGTAGTCTCCACTTGAGGACGCCCACGTCGTTGTTGAGGGGGAAGGACTTCTCCGGGTTCTTCAGGCCGATCACGGAGTCGGCGGAGAACAGCTTCTTGTCCACGTTGGGGTGCGTCTGAGAGGAGGAGACGCACGTTACTCCCCCGCCGTCTCAGAAGGCGTCCTCCTCCAGAGGGCGCGGGACGTACCTGCAGCTGCAGCCCTTTGTTGTCGTTGTTGTTGACGATGAGGCGGATGCGTCCGTGCTTGTCGTCCGTGACCCGGAGCGTGATCATGCCGAGCACCTCCATGTTCTGGAGGCCGCCGTCACGGCCGCAGGTCAGCGAGATCTTCTCCTCCACGCGCAGATGTACGCTGGAGACCAGACACACAGCGGCTTCAGCAATCTGACACCCCCCGTAGCCCCCCCCCCCCCCCTCCACATTAAGCTCATTAGTGAAAATATGACATCATGATTGATTCACCAGAGACCAACAGTCATGTGACCGTAAATCAGAGAAAGCGAGTGGACATTTTAATTGGTGCATCTCTAATTGTATCACATGAGAATACACATAAAGAATATAATACTAAAGTATTAATCCATTAGGAATAATATAAATGGTAATGTGCTACAACTATAATGATTGTATATCTATGTTTTTTAGTTATGTTAATTAAACCGCCCTGCTCATAGTTCAGTTACTAACTTAGAACCTATAAGTAACAATAATTCATATTACTTCAGTAAATTGATTTTTTTTGTGCTTCCAGACGACCAAATATGGGCGTCCAGCCGCGTGCGGGCAGAGACAACGTGTCCATACCTCTCCACGTTGACCGGGGGCGGCAGAGCCTTAGAGACATCCGAGCTCCTCTTCCCCGTGTTGGACATGATGGTCTCCCCCTCGGACTTCAGCTTGTCCACGAAGTTGTCCACCTCTTTCCCTTTGGCGCCCAGTTTCAGAGCTTTACTGGGTCCACTGGGTCTGGAAGAGAGAGCGGATGAAAGAGCGCCACCTTCTGAAACGCCCGCGATCACAACCACGGCGAGGCCCTCTGATGCGTACCGGACCGCGGCCGGCGTCATCTTGGGCTTCTCGGGCTCGATGATGGAGTCGCTGATGATGGAGCCCGAGGAGACGCTGGTCATGCCGGCGCTGCCGAAGCCGCCGAACGCCGGCACCTTCTTCCCGGAGCGCTCGGCGTCCCTCCGGGCCTGCTGCAGCTCCTTGGCCTTCCTCCTCATCTCCGCCTTGGCCTCCCTCTCCTGGGTCTGTGGCAGGGCAGAGTTCACAGGGACGCACTTACACCGCTGCACGCCGGCTGCCAGCCGTTAACGGCAGGAAACACGCGTAGACGTACGAGATACATTTACAGCGGGGACATAGCGGGTAAATCCAGCGAGCTCACCTCTCTGACGGCGCGGAACACCTTCTCCTCGTGGGAGTCCATCTCTGTGAAGGTGCGGATCTGAGCCAGGTTGACGTTCTCTCTGTAGCCGAGCGCCACGATCTCGTCGAAGGCGAAGATCAGGTCGAAGCAGTGCTCGGATATCTCGCTCTCCTCCAGCACGCGGCAGTACTCTGGGATCTGGCAAACCAAGGCAGGGGACAAGCTTCAAGAGGCTGAAAGCTCGGCTCCACTGATCAGGAGTAGCAGCACTTTGACAGAACTTCATCGTCAAGATGAAACATCTTTGGGGCATAAATGTACCTGTTAAATATATAACAACCGGGTCGATACCGGCTCTGAGTAATTCTAACAAACATATTTTATCTACATTCTAATGCATCTATTAATCACAGAAACACTTAAAAGTAGTTGACGGATTACTGGAGCAAAAAAACAAAAATAAAGTGACAATGGAGCGCAAGTTTGTGTAAGTGAGCTGGTCAAATAATGACTACAAAATGAACTTAACATGACATGCATGCAGCACTATTTTCTCCTTCATCCACAAAACATCATATCGTCATAACTGAATTATGAAAAACAACAGTGAGACAGTTATTTTTATGTATATCTGAAATAAACGATGGTATAAAATGGTATATTATTGTTTTTACAGAAACACATTGTCAGCCGCCAGCTGTTTCTTTTGAGCTTCAAGTGTATTTCCTGTTTGCTTTCCACAATCCTTCTCAAACAGACCTTCCATGGATACACACCAGAGAGTAAAACACCTCACATTCACTCATACGCCAGTAGTGTGCAGCTCATTAACTCTGCTCGCACCCCCCCCACCCCGGGACGCACGGCGTCGCTCCAAGGGTCCTCACCACGCGGGAGAAGAGTCTGAGCGTCTCCAGGTCCTCCAGGATGTTGCTGTTCTTGGTGGTGATGAGGACCATGTAGAGTTTCTCCAGCGGCTGGTACACGTAGCGAACGCTGTCCGTTTCCACAAAGGTGTGCTGCTTGCCCGTGTTCATCAGCTTAGGGAAGGCGGCCAGGAGGCCCTCGATGCGCGTCCGGGTCATTTCCACAAACTGCCGCGATACGATGGCCTTGCCGGCCTTGGTGCACACCGCCGCTGCCAACAGCACCTGCAGGGAGAGACCAGCCTCGACCGTTCAAAGTGCCTGCAAGCTTCAATGAGACGACGCATCGCGGGTTCTGAAGATGCTAATGCAAGTAATACTGCTGAAGGAACTAAATCACGGACGGTTTCTCCTTTCTACTCAACGGTCAGTACCCAGAATCTCCCCCAACGTTTTAAGCATCCGCACATTTAATATCGTCTTAGAGCAAACGGCTACGGAGGGTTGAACAAATACGGATCCGGTTGGACCCGCTTCAGCCTCCGGGTGCAAGAGGACCGATGAACGGAACCGGTCATGGTCTTAACTGCACCACGGAACACATGTGCGCCGGATTACGTCACGTCTACCGCGTGCATTTATGTCGAGACACAAAACCGTAAAACTTTAAATCAGCAGAAAGGTCAGTGGGGGTTGGCGAGACAACGGAAGTGTGGACAGAAACGACACGTTTACGTTTCCACAACCTGCACAGAGGTCCGATACCGCTGTGAGGACATTGTTTGTGTCCCTAGTTCACTGACGTCGCTCCACGTCAACAGTGGATGAAGTTACAAATGAAAGACGTCGACTGCGATGGAAGCTGAACTTCTTGTCAAATGTTGGCGACCGACGACTGGACGTTGACAGCCCCGAAAACACGTCTTAACACCTGGCTAACTTTAATTATAACACACATGTTTATTTGCGTGGGCCTCCGTTAAAAGAACGGTGTCGGTTCTGTCCCCGGCTGGAGACAATATGACAGCAGGTAACGTTAACTCGGACTCTGCTAGTGACAGAAGCTAAGCTAGCTCATCAAGCTAGTTAACGTCAGCGACGTCCGCAGCCTCGGTGCCGCCTTCTCGGCGGGTCTTTAGACTCCGTACGAGGCCACCAGAGTTCCTACACTTCGTTTAAGTAACTCGTTATGATGTCAGCGCTGTCAGCTCAGTGAAGAGCTGCGTTAGCTTCTCGTGTTAGTTCGCTCTTGGGACAACCGAGCTAGCCGTTAGCTAGCCCCTAGCTCGCCGCCAGGTTAGCCAGTGTTATGAGAATTGTCTAGGCCCGATAAAAAGCCACGGAAACACCTTCTGGTGTATCCACTCGCCGCTCACCATTTTCGGTCTCTCTCTCTACGGTGCGACGATCTTCAGTCTCTCGTGGTTCCCAACTCTCGGGGATTTTTCCTCTCACTCCCGAACGGCGAGGTGCCAATTCTCCGCCGACTTCCAAGTTGTGTGATTGTTAGCTAGCTAGCTAGCGTCGATATGGCAGCAGCGGAGCAGAGCCACGTCTCCACCGGAAGAGCCGCTGGGACCGCCCACCGCGGAAACCGGTGACGTAGGCTCGAACGCGCTGGCCCTGTTGCGTAAACACAGTTCCCTCGCGCTGCTCCCACGGGCGCTGGTTCCCCCGGTTCGATCCCCGGGTTCGTTCCTCGGTTTCTGGTCGTGCGACGGTGCACAACTCACCAGCCCGCGTGCTCACGTGCGATGTTCTTCTTATGTTCGTCAGAAGAATCCGAAGCCGTTTATCAAATGTTCCACATACTGGGATTTGTTATGGTGGATGTTGCAATCAAATTAGACGATAGAATAAAAATAAATAAAATACTCAGACTTGGTTTATCGGGAGTCAGGATCAAGTCGAACACTCGAGGAACTTGACATGGCGGCTGGTGCATAACATTGGACAACAAGACAAATACACAGTGCAGGAAATATGAACGCAGTTTACATGGTTTTATAAAAAAACTTAACATCTAAAGTCATCTTAGTTTCACTTAATATCTTAGTAATGGATAACTTTAAAGAAAAAACAATCGGTCCTCATTGATCACCATGAATTTGGTATCAGTTTTCAGTAACTTTCTTTGGTCATCAGATGTTACTACTTAAAGTGTATGATATGTAGAGTAAAAACCTCAACTCGTTTCAGTTAAAACAATGTTTAATTTGTTTCGCTGCGCCTTTTCATTGATACACAAACAAAAACCTCAATGTGTGAGAGACTGAGAGCTCAACCCCTTGTGTTGAGATCTCCTCATGGCAGTGTAGTGGATGGATGAGGAACATAACTTCATGTTTAACACATTAGCTTTTAAAGTAATTCCTCCATAAAGTTCCATGTACTTGACAGCAGCTCTCAGTAGATTCCTCCACTTTGTCTCAAAGGAAATTAATGACTTAGATCAAACATTTAAGGATATTAAACGTAAGCAGCAAACAGCTTTTAGCTGCACTACCATAGACATTAATCTCAATTATTAAGCAATACACATCTCTGATTCTTTCGATGTGTCATTTGATCAGCTCTGTGGCTGATAGCTGAACGGAAGCTGATAGGCGGAACAAGGAAGTGACCTCCTGCCGGTCCGGTGACGTCACGGGTTCGTTCATAGAGGAGCGCGTGAGAGCAACCCCTGGACTACTTTCAAGGATTTCCTGTTTACTTTTTAATGGTCTCTGGGTCGAAGTTGATTCGTGTGACACCGCAGCAGCGATCCGGGGCAACGACATGTCGGGGGAACCAAGTTCTGCGGTAGGTTCATTTTAACCACATTTGTTTCCCACCACCTCGCGAGAAGCACCTTCAGTGCCTCGCTGTGGGCGGCGTAGCAACACTTCCGCATTGCCCGTCATTTGGAGCGCAGTGATTGGTCTATCCGTGAGTCTCGTTCAGAACTCGGCTCCCTATTGGACAAATGACGAAAGGCGATCGAGCATTGACACACACACACAAGACCTAGAAAAAGCTAAAATGAACGCGTTTAGACAGTTTTGAACTCCGTTGATTTGTTGGGTTATAAAAGTGCGAGGCTAGTGTTTTTTTCCCAACATTCAGTAAGCAGAAGCCTTTATCTAATTTCAGACACATGCCCCGCGTCCATGTCCGTTGTTTACATTCTAAACTTTACAGCACGAGGTAAAATAGCATCTGTAGCATTGTGGTTAATTTTCGAAGAGTTGAAGGTATCCTCACATTCGGCTTATTAAACACGCGGAAATGTCTCATGAGCTTTCGTTGCCCAATTCCAGCGATACACAGTAGACAGCGTTGCTTGTTCCCGCCCCTCACGTTATGCAAGGCTTTGGTTGGTCTATCGGTTGCAGGCCCCGCCCCCCTTGGGAGACTAACGGCGGGTCCCGAGTTGAGCTGTAATGGGTTATCTGAGTTAGACGAAGGTAGAATACGAATGAAATAAACATCGGACCCGTTTACGTTTTACAAGCTATATGTCTTCTAAAGGCTTAAATCCGGAGATAATTCATGTTAATTGAGACAGTTCTCTGGCTCAGCAACTTGCATTACTCTCGCGAGATCTACCGTTCGCTGACGCTCGAGCTAACTAGTTTTTTAGGAACTACATATATATTTTACCTGGTTTAAATGCATAGAAATGATAAATTACTACAATATGACCTATTCTCCTTCATCATCCTCATCAGTTTTATCCCACTTCCAATGACCACGCCCACTTCCAATGCCGGAAGTGTTTAACAAACTTGCCCCCACAAGTTACAAGTCAAAGTCCTGCATAGAAAATTACTCAAAAATGAATTTTATTAATGCAAGGTATCCTTATATACACACACATACCTAAATAAACATACTACATTGGCTTGTGCACTAATAGAAGTCGGTCAGGAATGTATGAGCTGTATTGGGATTTAAGATTCGATGAATCAAGTTCACTAAATTTGAAACACAGATAGCTTGTCACTCTAAAACGGGCAATAATGAACCCAACCTAAATAACGTGTACATCCGGGTACTACAAATATAAGCTACATAAACTCTCATTGTACTGAAACCGTTGTTTCCAGCAGAACGCTCGGGGTTCTGCTGCAGGTGAAAGGTCAACACCTGAGCTACATCTCTTCTATAGAGGCTCTATTGGGCTAAGCCCCTCCCACTTCCTGTTCTGGAGCAATCGGCTAACTCAGTTTTTTAATTAGGTCATTAATTGTTTTTAAATAAGTTTTTTTTGGAGAAATTACATCATACTCTTAAATGTCTTTGGTCAAAAATATTTTTAATAAATGAAATGAAATGTTTCAGAAAAACATTGAGTCTTTAATTGATTAATCAAGAAGCTAGTTAAGTAATCAACTGATTCAACTTTTCTAAACGTATTCATACGTCTTGATTGATTCATAAAACAAGAGGTAACTTCTTTTTTAAACAAAAAGTACAATATCTCATCTCAAATTTAGTAGTGTGTGTGTGTGTGTGTGTGTGTATATATTAGTATAAGTAAGTATTTATGATACGTATCATATTATAAAATGTATAATTATATAAATGTTACTCCACTATAAATATATTATTAGAAACTGGTTTATTTAATTGTCATTCACATTTATTCACGCCAAGAACCTTTTTTTATTATTTTATATTGGATTTCTTTCCTTTTGTGATACGTTTATATTGTCAAGATGTTCTTTGTTGATTTAAAGATTTAAAACGTTTTATTTCTTTTTAGGATCGTTCAGTCTGCACACAGTTGAATATCTTTCTTTGTTGCACTGTGTGATGGAAAGAAAAGCCCTTTGACCGCACCTCAAACCTCAGCCCCTCCCTGCGTTCTATAACGGACTCCGTGAGCTAGCAGACTTATCTGCTGCCACCAGAGGTGTCTTAGGGTGGAGCTCCTGGAGGAGGAGGAGGAGGAGGAGGAGGAGGGTCCTGTAAAAAAAGACCAGTGTTCGGCATCTTGAGGCTGAATGACCTCAGCGGACACAATAGTCTCCTCTCTGCACACACACAGACACACACTCGCACACGGGACGATGGAGGGGCCGTACAAGTACAGCAGGGTGAGAGCAGCCGAGCGCTCGGAGCCGCACGCCTTCGTTCCCACGCGTTCCCCCCTCTAAACTCTCCTCTTTCCCCCGGCAGGACGCCAGCGGCGAGGTGCGGCGAGTCATCCGGGTCGGAACGCGCAAGAGCCAGGTACGGTCCGGCGTGATGTCATCGCTCCACCAGCGCGTCGGGCAAAAGTGCCTTTACATCTAGATGGATATTCATATTACCTTTTATTCACTCCCCCTGTTTCATAGTGAGCTTATCTCACTTCCTATTCATGTCCTGCAAAACCTTTAATCTGTAGTGCGCTTTGTGTTTAATCCTGAGAGTGTGTGTGTATGTGTGTGTATGTGTATATCTACATATATATATATATATATATATATATGTATATATATTTGCTAATGTGCTAGACGTTAAACCCTCGTGTCTCCGATATCACGCCGTCTCTCTGAGATAAACGCTCGTCCTCCGCGCCGTCAAACCTTTTTTTTCTTCTTCTCCTTCTGGACAGTCGGTAGATTCCATCTGAAGTTCTCCTCTTCTCTTCCTCAGCTGGCTCGCATCCAGACGGACAGCGTGGTGGAGAAGCTGAAGGAGCTCTACCCCCACCTCGCCCTGGAGATAGGTGGGTCATGTTCGGGTGGAGCTGCCTGATCGCGCAGTTTAAAATATGTTGATTATCCGTCGTTAAGTGGAGGTCTGCACACGCGAAACACTGATGGCCACCATGACAACCACAACGCCGCAACCACCGGACGTGATGCAAAAACACGTCACAAACAAATTTACTAAAATAGATAATAAATGTCACACCGGCTTCCTGCCGAAACGAAAACAGGTACGTCGGAAAAATAGTTATTAAATAAAGGTATAATTGAACATATCCGATCATAACCTCTCCTTATCCAGCATGAGGACGCTCTGTGACATTAAGTATACACCTGGGGTGAGAATCCTTTGACCTTTGACCCTCTTGCTCATATATTTGGTGCGTGAAGGGGTCAGAATACCTCTAAGGCGCAACAGGTGACAGGAAGCAGTGGAACGGCCTGGTCGTGCTCTGGGTGTCGGCCTCTGGATAGCGTGGGTGTGGCCAACAGTCCCTTGATTGACATCTGCGCCTATTAGGGGCGGGACAGGTTACACCTTTTATGACGGTTTACGTCTTACAGACATCAAACCACCAGCAGAACGAAAGCGGGAAAACCAGAGAGACTAAAAGCAGAAAAACGAAATGTGAAACTTGAAGCCAGTAGTTCCTCTTTCAATATGAGCTAATGGCTTCAAGTTATATTTGAACAAACATTTTCTTATTTTGTATAACGTGTTGCTGGTTGTAGGGCTGCAACTAATGATTATTTCTGTAATCGACTAATCCAACGGTTGTTTACCAGCGTGGCGCAAACAAACAGAGGCAATTATTCCTTTTGGCTACAACGTGTGGCCGTTTATTTCCATCCGATCTCTCGCGCGTTCACTTCATGTCGCCATGGTTACGCCTCTTCCTCGCGAAGGGCCTCGTGCATTTGGTCCTTTTAGTCCCCAAAGAAAGCAAATTAAAATGATGACTCAACATGTTGGATTTTGAACTTCAAATGTATTTGAGTAACAAGTTAATACAAATGTAGTCATCATAATAAATACATTAGATAGTAATACAAATATGCGTATTATGCGGTTTTAAAGTAACTCAAAATAGCAATAAAGTCTTTGCAGGTGACGAGCGTGTTGAGGACGTTCTCCAGACTCCCTGAGCGCCACGTGAAGGTTAACGGTCACTATGCAGAACGAACGAAAGGACTAAAGCTACAATAATTCACCCATTTACTACTCTGCATTCAACGTAACGTCCTCGTAAGTGTGAGCCTTACGTTAAGCTAACGGGATAGCGCCACTTTGGTTAGCTCAACTTACCCACGAGGAGAAGACGAATGTTCCTGCGTTGCCATGGTGACGACTCTGTTCTGCAGACGTTGTGCTGTTTGGTTCGCTGATGAAATACTTCCAGACGTTTTCGGCTCTCCCACGTTCAACTCGATAAACCTCTTTTCCTTGGTGCGTGTGGGCAGTCGGAGCGACAGCGCCCCCTGCACCTCCTCTGCTGCGTTGCAGTCTAATCGCTGCTGCAGCGCATCGCTGACAGTTTACACCTGTTGTGTCTTTCAGTTGGCATGACAACGATCGGAGACAACATCCTCGACAGGGCGTTATCAAAGGTGAGTCTTCACCAATCCGCAACTATTCGTGTTGAAGAAAGTGGAAGAAACGGGGGGATTGTGCTGCTGGTGTGAAACCAACGTGTTGCTTTCTGGTCGGACGCAGATTGGAGAGAAGAGCTTGTTCACCAAGGAGCTGGAGAACGCTCTGGAGAAGAACGAGTGAGTGGATAAACACAAATACTATTAGTAAAAATAAAGTTACCGTGACAGGAACCAGCCAATCAGAATGGAGTATTCAGTACGCAGACAATACAAGATGTAAGACTCTGTGACGTGTGAAACATCAGACCTCTGGGGGCATCTTTGTCCTCCTAAGACATCAGAGTCCCTTTTAAAGTGAGACAGAAGAGCTGAAATGAAGCCGACTCGGTCCGAGGTCGTCAGAGGTCGTCTCGCCTCATGAGAGCCTCCTCTCTGTTCTTCACATGGAACCTTTTTGATTTCCTCCAAAGCCTCACAAGTAGCAGCTGTCCGCTCTGAAGGCGGGAACTATGTACTCTGTGTACTTCTGTGTACTACGTGTACTGTGTGTACTCCCACAGGGTTGACCTGGTGGTCCACTCCCTGAAGGACCTCCCCACCACGCTGCCGTCTGGGTTCACCATCGGCGCCGTGCTGAAGTACGATTGAGCTCTTTATTGAGATGGAATTCAGTTCTATGATCTGGCAGAAAACGTGAGATAAGATAGTGTAGCGTTAAGATGTGACGACGTGTTTAGTTGTGATTCTCCTGCTTGCTTCCAGGAGGGAAAACCCCCATGATGCCGTAGTTCTTCACCCCAAACATCTGGGGAGAACTCTGGAGACCCTCCCGGAGAGCAGGTAGGCTCCGCCCACTCCTGTTGGGAGTTCTCCACTCGTACGAAAAGCGCTGATGACGTCGTCCCTTTGATGTTTGTGCAGCGTGATCGGCACCAGCTCGCTGCGCCGCGCCGCCCAGCTGAAGAAGAGGTTCCCCCAGCTGCTCTTCAAAGACATCGTATCCGCTCGCGTTTAGTTCTGACTCTTTAAACACAGGAAATAAAACAAAAGAGGTCAGTTTCAATGAGGCAGCCGGCTACGGCGTTTTTTAAGTGAAATAAGCTTCACGAGTTAAAGCTGCATTCTGTGTAGTGACCAGCAGGGGGCGACTCCTCTGCTCCCATAGACGTCTATGAGAAAATGACTCTACTTCTGTGTAGTGACCAGCAGGGGGCGACTCCTCTGCTCCCATAGACGTCTATGAGGAAATGACTCTACTTCTCTGTAGTGACCAGCAGGGGGCGACTCCTCTGCTCCCATAGACGTCTATGAGGAAATGACTCTACTTCTCTGTTGATTTGTTCCCTTAGTAAACGTTGTAAACATGAGTTTATGTCTCAGTCTCTAGTGTCAAGTCTTCTTCAACACAGCATGATGTTCATTTAGTGACTGATGGTCCATTTAGAGTCAAAGCTTTAGGGCGGGGCTACACACTGATTGACAGGTCTCTATTAGAGACGTATACAACGTCTCTACGTCCTCCGCAGTCCTTATATGGTCACTTCCTGTAAACCAAGATGAACGCGGTGGTAATCGATGGAGCAGCTTCTGTCCCCGTAGATGAAACATTATTTGCGTTGACATGTGATATAAAGTTGGACTCCAGGACGGACGTTCGTCTCGCACATGTTTTTTTCCCTGAGTCGCCGTCTCCAGCGAGGGAACCTGAACACGCGTCTGAAGAAGCTGGACGAGAAGGACGACTACGCCGCCATCGTCCTGGCCGCCGCCGGCCTCAGGAGGATGGGCTGGGACGACCGGATCGGTCAGGTGAGAGGTCACCAGGGGTCACCAGGGGTCATCAGGGGTCATGGCCTGTGACGTCTGTCTTCTAACAGTCAAGCTGCTTGTTTCCACCCCAACAGATCCTCAGGCCTGAGGACTGCATGTACGCCGTGGGCCAGGTGAGACACACACACACAAACACACACACATGCACGCGCACACACACACACACACTATGCTCACGTGCCGATGTGTGTCAGGGGGCTCTGGCGGTGGAGGTTCGGGCCAGAGACGCCGACATCCTGGAGATGGTGTCGGTCCTCCATGACCCAGAGACCGTGCTGCGCTGCATCGCTGAGAGGGCGTTCCTCAGACGGCTGGTACGCACGCACGCGCACACACACACACACAGACACTGACCGTGTACATCCTGTAATGTATTGATCATTTGCAGGAGGGCGGGTGCAGCGTCCCGGTGGCCGTACACACTGAAGTGAAGAACTCGCAGGTATGCTGCCACATACACACACTAAGCTCCGCCCACATTACTTACTGCCGCGCCTGTCAAGCCGTCGGCGAACTCTGGACAACGGATGACTCGGGAACAAACGTCCAGATGGATTTAACATTAAACTGATTCACTGTTGTGGGAATATATGACAATTCTACAATGTAACAGGATGAGAACCTGTAGGCGGGGCTATGCGCTGATTGACAGGTCTCTAACAGAGACGCCACGTTGGCGTCTTCCTCTGACGTGACCTTTAACCCCTGAGCCGACGCTGTGAGCTGAAGGTCATTTGTCGGTTGTTGCAGCTCTACCTGACGGGGGCCGTGTTCAGCCTGGACGGGTCGGACAGCCTGAAGGACACGATGCAGACGAGCGTCGCCGCTGACGACAAGGTAACGATGGACCGTGGACGTGTATCAATAATAGCGTTACATTATCACTGAAATGTCATTGATACTTTTTGTGTGTGTGTGCACCTCATTTTAACTGTGTTTGTGTGTGCGCGCGCAAAAACAGAGCTCGGACGCGGTGGACGAGCGGGTCCAGCGGGTCGGCGTCACGGCCTCCGGGGTCCCGGGCGGCGCCCAGGACGGCGCTGAGCGGCTGGGCGAGGACCTGGCCAACCTGCTGCTGAGCAAAGGAGCCAAGGAGATCCTCACGGTGGCCCGGCAGCTCAACGACGCCAGATAATCCGGGGGGGGGCAAAGCAGTCCGACTCGTCAGAAACTTCACCGAAAGAAGAAGTTCACCGATATGAAACATGACGAGACGTTCCGCTGCAGCTCAGTCGCACATCGTAAACACACACGTAGTCTGTCGTTCACGAGGAGGAACACAGGATAAATCACTTGACAACTTGATGACATTCTTTTAAAATGTAGCACCAGCAGAACAAACGGGGTGCAGCGAAGACTTTTAAACGTTTCCTCCTCCTCCGAGGTCGTCGTGCCAAAGAGGCGTCGCCTCACTTAGCTGTCGTACATCGATGTGTACGCGTTTACTCAGTCCAGACTGAAGACGACATGTCGGGAGGTTTTCACGGGGGATTGTTTGAGGTACTTTAGCAGAGACACCAGACTCCATCCACAAACACACTGATTCAACCGCTCAGAGCACACGAGTCGGTTGGTTTGAGTTACTGAGATCACGTTCACCAAAGTCACAACTCAAACTAACTGACCGGCGGACAATAGACTACTGAACTAGTTCTGAGAGGTCAAAGGAGTCTGGTGTCATTGAAGCACTGATCGCATCTTTAGTTCTCAGTCCTCTGTGTAGTAGTTCATACCAACACACTTAAAACATCACACTCATTTCTTTAACTCTGCTGCATCTGCTCGGTTTCCTAAATATGAATTTGCATAATTTCTACCATCCATATCTTCTATTTAAGTCTTTTGTCTCATAATATAAGATATAGACCTTTTCATGGTGTACATTTAAAATCACATAATTAAATGACATTTTTCTCAGGTTGTAGTTTATTTTATACGGATATGGATGAATGACTTATGAGACACTCATAATCAGAAAATACACAAGTCATCTTTGTAGTTCATCCAGTTATTTTACTTTATTTAAAATTACAAAGGAACAAATTAGTTATAATGTTTTACTCATCATGTCAATGAGTTTTTCTGCCTTAAATTGAAAAAAAATCCTCTTCATTCTGTGCTGCCATATTGTACTACTTTTATTTTATAGATCTTTATTGTACATCGTGTTTAATTTAAACCTCCTGAGACAAAGCGGAAGCGTCGACCTTATTTGATTTCAGTTTCAATGTCAGTTATGAATGAACGTAGAATGTTTCTGACTCCACCTGCGTCTTTGTTTTGCCTCAGATGTGTCAAATTAAAACGTAATGTCAGAAGCGTTAATAAAGCTCTGTCACAACTCCATGTTTGTTATTATTCATACATCTGTCTGTTGCTCAGACATCTTAAAAAAAAATAATAATCTGCAGGAAACAAAAAGTTCTAATTTATCCGTCTTTATGACAAAGCATGCGAGAGGCACTGAGGAGCCTCTTGGTGATCATCTGCGATCTATCAACATTAGAGCCTAAAATATGACGCATCAGATTGCTTTATTGTTCAACTGAATAACCTAAAGATCCGGCGGCATCATCGCTTCATCTCATCCCCTCGCCCAGTCAAACTGCAGCCTCCCGTACGGAGTCTTGCCACTGGCATTCAGAGTGAAGATGTTCTGTTGGGCGTTCAGCGGGATCACGTGGTGGAACCGAAGCAGCCGAGGGTCCGGGGCGTCTGTCATCCGAATGTTCTGCACCACCCTCTGGTAGGCTGCTGCCTCGGCAGGTAAGATCAGCGGGACGATCGTGACACGCTGTCTGCCATCGGGAGGCTTGACGGGAAGCCCTCTGGTGGACGGTGGAAAGCAGAGGCCGGGGAGAGGAACGCGCAGGTTCTTCCTCCGATCAGGCTGTCCAAGGTCCAGTTGAGGATCCTCTGGGTTTGTAGGGCAAGCTTTCAGATGACATGGTCCAAGGTCCGGTTGAGGATCCTCTGGGTTTGTAGGGCAAGCTTTCAGATGACATGGTCCAAGGTCCGGTTGGGGTTGAGGGTTAACTGGTGTTGGAGATAGCTTCAGAGGACGAGGGGTCCCTTTAGGTAGTATATATGAGGCTATCCTGGGTTCTGTGGGTATGGAAAGGTACATGTAAGACACAGAATACATGACGAGTGGTGATTTAAAAATACAATAAGAAGGATTGGCCATCAGGCAGGAACAGTATCGAATTTCTTTCCGAAACATCCACTCATAATTTTGCCAGGTTTGCTTGTTTAAGTTTGCTAGATTGAATTGTGTCAGTGTCTCTGATCACCAGGGTCCCTTTAGAAAAACTCTCATTCTACTGCAGCAAGATGTGACTGTCTGCCCTTAGGGCCCCTAGGCTTAGGGTTGCCCTAACCCTAACCCAGTCGTATCTGGTCTCCCGGGCTTCCCTTCCCGCAAAACTCTGGTTGTCCTCAAACCCTTCTAACTTATGAAAAATTTGGTTCCCACACGTGGTTCTTGCATGGGGCCCAACGTATTTTTACATTGAATGAATACAAAGAGTGAGCTCTGTAGTCTTGGGACAGAAACCTTGCTTTGAAAGAACCTCCTCCGGAGACAGCAGAGGAGATTCCTCTGGTGGCTCTGAGCTCACTGAAGTCACTGAGGAAGAAATGTTACAAAATGAGAAATATACATGTTCATAAAGTGTGCAGAAGATCTCCATCTCTAATGTTGGTGGTCTTATTTACTCGTACCGTTGTTGGTTATAAAAGTGGATGTTCTCTGTTCACTGAGATGTTGGAGTGGAGGTGTGATCTGTTTATGAAGCTTCAGTTCTTGGAGATGATTGTACAGGTTCTTCTGCCGATCAGACTTCAGCGCCCCAAAATTACCCTGAACGATGGAGGACGTAGAAGCAAGAAGATGCTCGGTGATCGTAGACAGTTTTCCAAAGTTTAGTGAGGTTTTGGTGCCAGCTTTATATTCCTTGTAGAGCTGCAGGACCTTGTCATCCAAGGGTGCATGTGTTTGGTTTCCAATAATGTTGTGTTGGGCGGAAGCTAGGAGGAACCTCTTATCACTGATTCGTGAGAACTCAGAAGGTCCAAGATACGGTTGGGGTTGAGGATCCTCTGGGTTTCGAGGGGGAGGCTTTGGATGATGAGGCCCAAGGTCCGTTGGTGGTTGAGGATCCTCAGAGGCTGGAGGCTTTGGATGATGTGGCCCAAGGTCCGTTGGTGGTTGAGGATCCTCTGGGTTTCGAGGGGGAGGCTTTGGATGATGAGGCCCAAGGTCCGTTGGTGGTTGAGGATCCTCAGAGGCTGGAGGCTTTGGATGATGTGGCCCAAGGTCCGTTGGTGGTTGAGGATCCTCAGAGGCTGGAGGGGGAGGCTTTAGATGATGTGGCCCAAGATCGGGTTGGGGTTGAGGGTTTTTTGGGGTCGAAGAAGAAAGTTTCAGGGGGCGAGGAGTCATGTTCTGGGCCTCTACGGGTGGTTTGTATGAGTCTATCCTGGATTCTGTGCTTATGGAAAGGTGAATATAAAAAGGAATATATCATTTAAAGAGTGCTCGGCCTCCAGCTTGAGACATCCAATCGCCTCTATTCATCAAACACAAAACAAAAACAATTTGGGTTGTCCAAAAAGCGTTTGAACATTCTGTTGTAGCATGAGGCCCAATGTCTTCATACATGAATGAATATTAAGAGTGAGCTTGTAGTTTTAGTGACGCTAACCTTCCTTTGAAAGGACCTCATCTACAGACGGCACAGGACATTCCTCTGGAGGCACCAAATTTGCCGAAGTCACTGAGGAAGAAAACATTTTACAAGATGAGAAACATTAATGTTCATAAAGCGAGCAGGAAGATATCCATCTCTAATCTCAGTTGTCTCATTTACTCATGTCCAGTTTGTTGGTTATCAAACTGGATGTTCTCTGTTCACTGAGATGTTGGAGTGGAGGTGTGACGTGTTCGTGAAGCTTCCGTTCTTCTTCGTTTTGTTGACAGCCGGTGGATCTAGAAAAGGATGTATTGAAGGAGCACATGAATGCACAGCTGTTGTGGGGACTTGTAGAACTTGCATAAGAAGTTCTGAACCATTACTGACCAGTTTTAAAGGAAACGCATTACTCACATATAGATCAACGTCCCTCTTGTGTCGTCGCTGACTTCTCGCCTCCGAGGCTCCATATTTATTTGTCCATCGTGATCAGATGTTCTCTGCAGGTTCTGCAGAGCGATCTTGGTTTGGCCGAAGTAGGACTCCTTGGGGAGGACTCTTCTCTCCTTTACCTGCACCTCTGCTTCCTCATCTTCGCTCTCCGTCTCCCACCCAGTCACGTACCATGTCCTTTCTTTATCTTCCACCACCTCATATCTGGTCAGATCCTCTTGATCGTTCACTGTGTCTTCGTCCTCCAGAAGAAGACGAGGGAAGTAGTCCTCCCAGCTGTCGGTCTGGGGAAGAAGCTTCTCCTTCTTCCACCAGTTGCGGATCACAGAGTTTGGGATGTAGCCATCTGGAGCTATGGGGCATCTCTCGGTCTTCACATCAACGGTGGTCTTGGACATGGTGTGATATTTATATATTATGTGTATGTATATTATATAAATATCTTTAACTGTTCAGCTCCAGACTCCTTCCCCCAGCGCCTCGCTGCAACATGTCAAAGAGGGAAGAATGAGTTGTATATTTTGGGTGAAATGCTTCTGTCGTCTTGCTGAGAGTAAAATCACAATGAGAATACCACTTTTATGTCTTAGCTTAGCATACATTAAATCTCATTCAACCTCTACAGAAACAGTATATTGGCGCTTTGTAGAATCTCTCCTTGCTATAAAATAAAAACACCAACTTTACATCCAACTATCAGAAAGAAAGTAAAAACTATGAAGAATCACTCCCACACGTGTGTTCCAGCTCCCTTTGAGTAGAAAAAACATGCATTCATTGCTGTTATTTCAAATCCAATCCACTGTTTCAAAAACTCACCCAGAGGAGCTTCCTCTTCCTGCTGGAAGCTTTTCCTCTCTGGAGACGCGACATCACAGACTGTGATCCATCTGTGTTTTGAATATTTAAATCACAACAGCTGATCTGCTGAACGGAACTGACAACAGGGTTACCGGTCTGAAGGAGGGGGGTCATGTTTGTTCCGAGGAGTTTACCGAACTAATGGTTACACCGGGAAAGGGAACCGGTAAATAAAACACGATAATACTGAGTTCCATCCGTCATTCTGCAGCGTGAAAGAATCTCTTCTGCTCTTTATTGCCATTAAATGTATCTCCTCCCGTGGTGAGCGAGTAATGTTCTTTATGCTGCACACGTTTAAATCCCACATGTTGTGTCATGTGAGTCGAGAGGGGAGAGAACACGCAACTGAGAGGAGTTTCTTCATGAACTTTACTGGACTTTAAGTCACACACTCACAGGTACCAAGAACCAAAGAAGAAGAAAACTGAGGCGGCAGCCGGAGAGGCAACGCGAGGAGCAGCCATAACCGATGCTGGATGATGTTAGCATGTTACATTATGCGTAACATAATGCGTAACAACATGCTAATGTTAGCATGTTGACATAATGCGTAACGACATGCTGATGTTAGCATGTTGACATAATGCGTAACGACATGCTGATGTTAGCATGGTAACATTATGCGTAACATAATGCATAACAACATGCTAATGTTAGCATGTTGGCATAATGCGTAACGACATGCTGATGTTAGCATGTTGACATAATGCGTAACGACATGCTGATGTTAGCATGTTGACATAATGCGTAACGACATGCTAATGTTAGCATAGTAACATTGTGCGTAACAACATGCTAATGTTAGCATAGTAACATTGTGCGTAACAGTAGAAGAATAAGGGCAGAAAAATAATTCAACGAGATTCACCGAGAAACATCACACTCACGTCTCGTCTCTTTATTTATTTATTATATATATATATTAAACTGTTTAATTAACTTCTGTTTGTCAAAAACCGACAAATAAGTTCAATCAAAGCATATACATTTTTTTTAATCAATTTTCTAATTTAAATGGACAAATTATAAACAATTAAATTAATGTAACTATAAATATATTCAAGTAAAATAAGGGTTCGATTTAACAATAAATTAATTAACAGAAAGCTTTTGTAAAATGTGTTAAAATAAAGCACTTCGTTGATGAAAAATTAATTTAATCAAACTGTCCCGCAGCTTAATTATTAAATAAATTTAATTCACTTTAGAAGTGACTTCAATCAAGAAAAACACGATAATAAATTATGATCATCATCTTCTAAAAATCCCGATGTGTTTTTAGAATTTAGTTGATCGTTAAAGAGATTCTGTAAAAGTGGGGAAACTCCCCCCCCTCCCTCAAAGAAAGACCCCCGTGCTTTGAGGTCTGAAACTGAACGTCCACTAGGACCAGCGGGGGGGGGGCACAGTGTGACCAGGTTGGGGACACGTCGGATGTCATCATTGCTGGAGCGTCTCCCTCCAGTCGAAGGAGTGGTTCGGTCCATGTGTGAGGGGGAGGATGGGGGGGTCGACCAGCTGCCACACCCCCGTGTCTGCCTGCTCCTCGCAGCAGCAGAAGCCCAGGTAGGGGATCTGAGGAGCAGGGGTCCGGTTTAGGTTGGGAGGCAAATGTGTCACATGGGAACTACTTTCTTCCCTTTAAGAGCAACGCAACATAATCTCTATTCAACATCGTTAGATGATCAGGAGAAGACTCCCGATTGATGCCAATATTCTCTATTCCTTTAATGTAGTTATAATAAATATTGCATTTTAATATTTATCTTTGACCTTTCGGACTACTTGGATGAAGTCCTTGGCGCTCTGAGGGCCGCGGCCCTGCAGCTGGCGCGTGCACGCCTCTAAGGAGGAGGCGTGGGCCACGATCAGCACATGGTTTCCTGAGGAGGGGGGTGGAGGGGGGAGAGGAGGAGGGGAGGAGGGGGGGAGGACAGCGGGATAACAATATCATACAAACACGTCAGTACAGTATGTTGTAAAAAGTTAAGCCATAGTAAGAAAAGTATTTCAAAATGTGACCGTGAAGTCCTGAAAAATGAATGATGTTGTAAAAGTATGTAATAAAAAGTCATTTTAATCATAGCAGTGAAATACATAGAAAATAAGTAGTCATGAGGAGAAATGTGAAAAAAGGGTAAAATATCGAATAACGGCGAAAGAAGAACAAAACAAAACCTGGTGCAGCGTCATGATAGAAATCAAACGCTGAATCAGTGAAGGAGGAAGAAGCAGATCGGTTTGTACAAACAGAAGAAAGTCACATTGAACTGTTCAAGAAGTCAAAGTATAATTATGAGTCTTGTTTGTGCTCACCTGCGTTCCTGCTGTCAGACAGGATGTCTCGGGTCACCTGGTGGCTCCGCCTCATGTAGCTCTCGTACGACTCGGACGCCGAGAGCGAGTCGACCGCGACCAGAGGCCTGAGAGGAGGAACACGGAGAACAGTACGAGGTGTTGCCTTGTTTTACCCACCTGTACGAGGTGTTGCCTTGTTTTACCCACCTGTACGAGGTGTTGCTTCGTTTTATTCACCTGTACGAGGTGTTGCTTCGTTTTATTCACCTGTACGAGGTGTTGCCTCGTTTTATTCACCTGTACGAGGTGTTGCTTCGTTTTATTCACCTGTACGAGGTGTTGCCTTGTTTTACCCACCTGTACGAGGTGTTGCCTTGTTTTACCCACCTGTACGAGGTGTTGCTTCGTTTTATTCACCTGTACGAGGTGTTGCCTCGTTTTATTCACCTGTACGAGGTGTTGCCTCGTTTTAACCACCTGTACGAGGTGTTGCCTCGTTTTACCCACCTGTACGAGGTGTTGCCTTGTTTTACCCACCTGTACGAGGTGTTGCCTTGTTTTACCCACCTGTACGAGGTGTTGCCTTGTTTTACCCACCTGTACGAGGTGTTGCCTTGTTTTAACCACCTGTACGAGCTGTTGCCTCGTTTTAACCACCTGTAGGAGGTGTTGCCTCGTTTTACCCACCTGTACGAGGTGTTGCCTTGTTTTAACCACCTGTACGAGGTGTTGCCTTGTTTTATTCACCTGTACGAGGTGTTGCCTCGTTTTATTCACCTGTACGAGGTGTTGCCTTGTTTTACCCACCTGTACGTTGCATCTACGCTGAAGTGCGCCGCGGCCAGGTCGGCGGGCGGTATCCACGACGGCAGCGAGCTCCCAGAAACCCACTTGGTCCACTCAAAGAGCCCCGGCTCCACTCGCACCCTCAGTTTGCCCTCCTGCTGCAGACCTGTTTGAAATGAAGCCAAGTCAGTGGAGTAAAAGAGCCCCATGAGTCCGGCGGCGTCACCCGGAGAGAATCTCCACCTTTCAGGATGTTCTGCGCCGTCTGGACGCAGCGCAGAGACGGCGAGCAGTACACCAGGTCGATGGCTGCGTTGCTCTCCAGCAGCGCCTCGCCTGGAAGAAACACACAGATCAAACACACCCCGAGGGGGCCGACTCTTTGGTCATGTGACTCATGTGACGACCGTGGGGGAGGAGGGGGGGCGGGAACATACCGACTAGCTGAGCCTGCGTGGACCCAAAAACGGTGATGGGGGCGTCCATATGGTAGTCCCTCTGCCCCCCCCACAGCGGCAGGCAGGGCGGCATGTTCAAGTTGGAGCGGACGTAGCGACCTGCGGAGCCACAAGAGGCCGTGAGGGGGGGTTGTTTTAACCTGGGGGGGGGGGGGGGGGTTCTCACCTTTGCTGTCAGAGCAGAGGGAGAGCCAGTGTTTGCCGAAGACCACGTCCATCCTCTCACCGTGCCGGCACACAAAAAGAGTCCGTTTGGGCTGCCGGGACGAACCGGCGCCGATCCTTAGGACCTGCTGCCGAAGAAGAGGCAACGCTCGTCACCTATGGACACTTATGGGACACTTATGGGACACTTATGGGACACTTAATTGAGGAGAAGGGAGAAGACAAGGATGAAGAGGAGAAAACAACACCTGCATCGGATGACAGGTGACACTCGGGGTGGGCGTGTCTCCGGGCCTGTCGGAGCGTCGGCCGTCCGGCAGCCCGTCAAATGCCCCCCTGTCCCCGGGCCCTTGGCTGAAGAAGGAATGGGAGCTGAGGACGAGCAAGGACAAGACAATAGACAATTAAGATTAAATGCTGTCGCAAAGAAGGAAACCCCCCCGCGCCCCCCAAAAAACGCCTCGGACCCGTGAAAGACCCAGGCGTCGGACTCGTCGGCGAGGCCCACGTAGTTCTCCGGCAGCAGGCCGGACAGCCCGGAGGCCAGCGAGGTCCCGTGGACCCATCCCTCGCTGGTCCCGCCCTGGTCCAGCGGAGACGCAAAGACGAAGTCGCCGGGAGCCAGCTCCAGCTCGTCCTCATTCTGCGGCGCGTAGGGGTACACGGCCCGCAGGGTCTACGGGACGACCACCGAGCGAGGGGCTTTAGGTTAGTAGAAGGAATATATATAATATATATATATGTATGAATGTACATATGTATAGTGTATCAATACATTACAATTTAAATATACATAATACATATCAAATATCTAGTATCAGATACACAGTACATAAATATCTTCGAATGAATTAATATTTTTTATTTGAAATACTTTAAAAATAAATTTTACGTCGTGGTTGGCGAAACGGATGTCCCGGGAGAAGAGGACCGCCAGCCAATCACAGCCCAGCTTGACCTCGATGCCCTTGGCCAGTTTCTTGAGAGGCGGCAGGTGATTGGCGGGGAAGTTGTAGGCCAGAGTCACATGGAGCTGCTTCCTGTGAGGCTCCACGTGGACCTCTGGAGACCAGACGGACCATTACATGGTGATTGACTGAAGGGGGCATTGTGGGTAAATGCCTCTCCACGCCGCTGGTTCCTACCCGCCATCCTGGACGCCTCCGTGGCGAAGTCGGCTGCAAAAAGCTTGAGGACGTCGGCCGCCTGCTTCTCCACGAAGAGGCCAATGAAGTTGGAGGAGGTGTAGAGATCCAGAGGGAGAGGAGACGGGAAGCGACCTCGCCACTGCTGGACGGAGGCCTTGAGGGCCTCACACAGGGCCTCCACCTGGGGGTCCGCACACTGAGGGGCCAGGGGGGTAGTAAAGGAAGAGAAGGAAGAAGAAGATCTGTTTGTTATGCTAAAGTCATTTGTAGTCAGACGACCTTTGACCCTGACCCTCCCTTGGGGGCTCACCATGAAGAACTGGCACAGCGTGATGTGGGGGAAGATGTTGTGGGCTTTGTTCTTGCCACACGTGACCCGGCTCTGCTGCCAGAAATGAGAGAGCTGGTTCTGAAGAGGTCCGCTGGGCCGCAGGTAGAGCACGAACTCTCTGGGCAGAGGGTCGTCCAGGAAGGGGTCGTCCAGGTGGGAGAAGAGCCTGCACCCCCCCCCAAGTGTACACATATATACACATACATGTGTGTATAGTTTGTTTTTTAACTACCGCTCTGTAATATGAGCGTCTAATTCACTGCAGGAATTTGGGAGATTTGTCAAATATCTTCACATGCTTCATCTTGCAGATGTCTTTGGGTAAACAGCTCGGACTTTGTTATTCTGAGGTAAAAAAACGGCTCAATGACGGATCATCTCCATGGAAAGGTTCTGTAATAATCTCGTTCACGGCGCTCCCCCAGCAGGGGGCAGCACCCCTCACAAGAAGTACCTGAACTCACCAGTCACACGCTGCCTGCACGCTGCGACCGCCTGTGGACACCAGAGCCTTCAGTCTGCAAGAGACAGAAGCAGGTTGATCATCAGCCACCGGAACCACCGGGACAACCAGCGGTGTGTTCAGGGACCCTCTTTTCTTTTCACCTACTGTGTATCTGTGTTGATTGTTTGAATACAGATCTAATAAAGATGAATATCTGGTTCAGCAGATTAACAGCTTGATATTGTGAATGAATCAGAGGTATGAAAACATGAGTAAAGTTCACAGCTTCTGGGGTACGTTTGGTTTCTCCTTCGTCATTACAGAAGACACGTTGCATTCACTGTCTTCTCTCTCCGGCTGAAGCGAAGACAGAGAAACTATTACCCACAACCCCTTTAGGAAGCAAGCGGCCAGCTAATTGGCTAACGAGTCTCTGAGATGTGAGGAAGGAGAGCGTCCTCTCACGTCTTGTCTTATCTGTCCTGTTGTCCACTGTCTTACTGGCTGATGTTATGCACCTACCGCCAAGTCACAAACACAGAATCAAATGATCTAACCCCCCCCCTCTGGAGATAAGAGGTGCTCCTCCTCCCGGGGGAGGAAGCGGCTTGTCCCGTGGCTTTGTTAACCACTGCGGGCCCTGAACACACCACACACCTGATGTGTTGGGGTTTGATTTAATCGCGTATTTTATTATTTGCTTTGTCATCATTTGGAACGCAGTCCTGGTGTGAACAAACCTTTTCAACACCACGCTTGGACTAAAAATATGTTTCCTCCTATGGCCCCTGAATGCATCATGTGGAATCCATTAGAAAAAGCAGCCAAATCCAAGCTTAAAACAACGTTCTGTTTCACACGTATCATTTTAAATTTCTCCCCAAACTGATTGTTTGCCCAAAACGCATTCGGTAAATAACATTAAATCCGGAACTATGACGTCATGATTGGTTCACCTGAGAGTCATGTGACAACAATTCAGTGAATCCTAAAATGAGCAGCAGAGAGTAGACGTCACTTCACATTCCACAACACTCACTCACTATTACTGACTTATTTCTGCAGACCCGACTGCATCGAATCTGTTTGACGGACGTAGATCATCGGCACGTTTCATTTTAACACCCAGCACTCTGACCGCCTCACTCGCCTCCTTCCCTTAAGCTTCATGACAATACCTCAGGAAACGTGCCCAGATTAAACCCGTGAACACCTGGAAACATGCTGGAGATATAAATCATAATGTTTTACATGACTTTGTGAAATAAGTGTTGAACTTGTGTTACTTGCCACCACTCTGACCGTGTTATTCTGCATTAAACACGGTCTTATCAGAGTTACCTCCACTTCCACCCACAGTGCTCCTGTTTCCACCTTTTATTTTGAAGAGAAATGAGACAAAAATGTGGATCAAAGTTGGTGTTTTTTACTTCGTACCTGCTTCTGAATCCCGGCTACAAGAACCACAACAGGAAGAACACGGATCTGACCAAGCGTGTGCGTGTCCGTGGGTTTGTTGTTTCACGCGGCGAGCCGAGTCGAACCCGCCGATCAGAGGACGAGCCCACGCGAACACACAGAGGAGCCCGGGGGGGTCACCAGGAGAGAGGCCCATCTGATGGGGGGGTCACCAGGAGAGAGGTCCATCTGATGGGGGGTCACCAGGAGAGAGGCCCATCTGATGGGGGGTCACCAGGAGAGAGGCCCATCTGATGGGGGGTCACTGAGGCCTCAAAGGCCTTGAAGGCAGCCGTGAGTTAGCGCCAGCCTGTTTGGCATAATATAAGGTTAGCATGTCACAAGTAGCAAGCTAACGAACTAGCCGGCTAATTGCGCCACTGGTTGATGCTGTAGGAGCAATTTCCTAGTAACTAAATGTCACCTTTTGCACGATGTCTCTTTCAAACATGTGAATGAGTCACGATGAGTCAGGAACATTTTGTAAAAACTGAATGTGTTGATTAACAGATTCATTAAAAAGTTGCTCCCCCGGGTATTAAAACATCGGCTCCAAGCATCCGGCGGATTCTGGCGGCGGCAGATGTTTCTCTGAGAGGTCTGTGAGATACAGATCCGTGTGGGATGGATGAATAAAAGGGTTTTGTAGGAAAATGTCCCAAAGTGATGATTTATTTTCTCAGAAGAGAGAAATGGGAGAAGACCGGCTGGTCAAACAAATGAACAAAGCAAGAACAATAGTCTTACTGGGGTTTGATGCGCGTGGTGACTTCCTGTCCCCTGGACAGCAAACCCAGTCATTCAACCGCCATCAAGGCCGTCGTTTGTGAGAAAACATCTTCTCTCCGTCGCCCCCCAGGAGTGAAAACAAAGTCAACCGTTGACTCGAACCTCAGACCGACGGGAAGGGAAACGGAGAGAAGGCCTCAAACTAGCTAGCTGGCTTTGCGTGCGGCTCGACCTCTTTCTCCTGCTTCTCCTCCCCGAGGAGCAGAGCTTCTCCTCCAGTCCCTGGAGAACCAGGACTGAGAGGTGAGTGAGGCTCTGTGGTAGAACGAGAGGTTTTCCAAAGGGACTCTGGTGATAGAGACTCTACCACTTTACCATAACAGGTCGATTCATCATTATTCACTTCAACACGCTGTTTATTACCCCACAGCGGCATTATATTTAGTTTAATTTAGTATTTTATTTATTACTTCTTTAATAACATGTCAGAGATAAGAGATTTAGTTTAGTCCGTCGTGGTGAAGTTGCGATTCACATCACACAATCTGCTTGAAGCCTTTAACCTTGAAGCTGTGTGTTGCCACACACATACACATACACATAAACATCTATATACATATATATATATATGTATGAGTATGTGTGTATGTTTGGTTTTGTGCCGTTAGAGCCCACCCATGTGAAACGGGAGCTCAAGCCGCCCAATCACGGGACGCCTCGTTGGGTCCCGTCGCTGTGGGAAATCTGCTTTATGCATCCTCACACTTCCTGTTTCCAAAGCCCCCCCGACCCCCATCAGGGGTGGTTCACTGACTTCAGACGGGGTTAATTTAAGTACGTCAGAACCAGCAGAGCAACCTTTGTTTGTCAGCATTGTGTCCACTTGAGGCTCATCCGTTACCACAATAGAACCGATCCTGGGTCCTTGTTTCCTGTGGGGCCACACATTGTTCCAGCCCCACAAACAACACTTCAGCTGGTTCCTCCACACCAGCACCAAAAGCCAGCGAGGTATCGCTGGATTTAAGCCGCCGTTTAGGACGAACAAACTTCAGTTACAGTTTTTTCCGGTTGCTGGACGTCAGCGAGCACATCTGGAGTCACGTGTGCAAAACTCTGACTCCATCTGCACAGCAGCAGTTCATGAGGACCGAACTCCAGATCCTTTTCAGTGCTTGAACACAGTTTTCAAAACTCTCCACACTGATCACATGACGTCATGACGCACACACAACCTGCACAACACTGTGGATCCACTGCACTTTGTTCAGATGCAACACGCTGCTGTCAGAACTGAACCACACATTCAACACGGAATGAGCCTCTAAAACACTGAGGATTCTATGCAGGTGTCTTGTTTTAGACGTGTTAGTGAACACACACACACACATATATACATATATATATATATATATATATATATATATATATATATATATATATATATATATATACTGTTTGGAGTCGTGTGTTGAGAGTTGTGTTGCCTGCAGTGAGTTGTGCAGGTGAGTTTTGCACACGTGACTCTTGTGCTCGCTGACGTTCAGCAACCGGGAACAACTGTAATGTGCTTTGCCTCCTTGTGAGAAGACTTAACACAAACTCCACTACACCTGCATGTGCTCACTATGGATTCATCTCCTGATGCAGGAAGCTCGTACAGCTTCGTCTGTGCACTGAAGCGACTCGTCCTCCTCACTCGGTGAATGTTTGAGGAGCTGAAACGAGAAGAGAAAACGACCTCTTCAGGGAAACAACGAGGAACTCGTTTCTGTTTGACCTGCCAGCTCGTTAATACCACACACACACGCACACGCACACACACACACGCACACGCGCACACACAGTATGTTCATGGACCGATCTAAGGTCACAGTCCACCTGATAACAGTAGTTATGGTCCTGCTGCATTTTGCTTTCATTTTCTGTCTGTCCACTTGGGGATTGAAGAAGAAAACCAGCCTTTATATTTATTATGTTACTACATTTTTACCACCTTTACTAGACACAGAAAACCATCTAACCTCATAACAAGCAGATATGAATCCACACGAGCATTAATTCAACGTGTGCCCTCCATTAACGTTCTCTCTCCTTTTAGCTCCATGTTGGGTCTCTACCACCAATGTTAGTAAGTGTTGATCCCATAATTCACCGCTGCATTAGTAACATCTGGCTCATCCTCGGTAGTAACGTCCCCTCACATGTATATTTACTACTGTATCTGCCCCCTCCCTCCCCGAGTGGACCTGAGGCGCTGGACAATCTCCAGACGGCGTATTTGGCAAATTTACCACGGGGACAGATGGCTGGGTCACACACACACACACACACACACACACACACACACACACACACACACACACACATGAATATTCATTTCCATGAGACACGTAAACAGCTCAGTAGGAATCTTGTCTTTTGGGGATTAGGGGAATAAATCTGTCCATCACGTCTCTGTAGGCGGGGAAACGTCCCCCACTATCTGATCAAAGATCTGAGTGTGATCCATAAAGCGCTGGAGGATGTGCATCCATCAACGCGGCGCTCGATAAACTAAACCTCGGCCTCGGGGCGTCGACGTTTCATCGCCTGTTACGACCTGGTTGGAGAACCAGAGGAGAGCAGGAACCTGAGTGGGACTGAGGGGAAGCAGCTGTCAGTCCAACGGGCTCTCAGGTCCACATGGAAACCCACAGCTGGCTCAGCAGCTGGATGCCGACAGCTTAGATCCCCGTGTGATCAATACACGACTAACAAACCAAATGCATTCTGTAGGATTCTAAAACTCTTTTGACAATATTTATTGTCACGTAACAAAGAACTGAACACGTGTGTGTGACTGCAAATATAAACGCTGTTCTCTCAATTAACTGAACAAAAGTCGGGCTGCATTTAAAGATAAAAATAAAAAGTGAAAACTCACATTTGGACTTGACAGTCTCAGCAAATTATAAATAATACACGCAGACATTTGAAGAGTGTAATCGAGTACATACATCCGATCTCCCATGTGGATGGCCAGTCGGAGGATTAAGATCTTTTCTCTTTTTGCAGAAAATTTGTTCCTCGTTTTCCTCCCCGTCCCTTTCGCTCACTTTCTCCGTCTCACGCGTCTTTTTCTCATCATTTCGCCATCTTTCTTTTCTTCCTACCGTCTCTATTTGCTGCTGCCGCTTCCGTCTGATATCATCAGGATCATCGTCCTGCTGGAATGCAAAGACTCAAATTGGTCGAATAGTATCGTCGGTGCTTTAAGCCACGACCGTGAAGACGAGTAAAGGCCGCCGCGTGTTTCTGCGTCTTTACGTCGACGCACTGGTTTCACTTCCTGGTTGTAAAGTCCTGCGTGTGTTGCAGAGCGATTCGCCTCCAGAACAACAGGTGGAGTCACGTGTTTTGTTGAAGACGACCTGGAGAGTCACGTCTTTGTGTGTGGAAGTCGCTGGTTGCTTTATTTATGTATCATAGACTTTATTGCCCCGTGCATCCACACTGCTGCTCTTCATCACGGACACATTTGTCCCGTATTTTCCTCCACGACTTTGTCCCCTCGTTTGTGGAGATCTCCCTCCATGAATCAGAGGCCATCCGGCGTCCTCATAGTCCGCCAATGACGACTTGTACAAGCGCTCATATTTAAAAGCTCTTCAATCGGATCCGTTCTCTCGTAAACATTCTTCCTTTTAATAACGGCCGTATTGTGCTGTGAAAACGGAGACGTGAGACTCCGTAAAGGACGTAGTCAGAGACCAATCACAGCCTGCTGCTGCAGGACGCTGCGTCGCTTTACACGCTAGTCCAGAAAAATGGGTCGACGCACACAAGGAGGTGTGAAAAGACACGCAAGGGACACGCAAGGGGGGTCTTGCGTCTGCGTGTCCCTTGCGTAGCTCTGAACTGGGCTTAAAGCTTTGCCGGCAGCTCATTCCTGAGTGCGGCCAAGGATCATAAAGGGGAAGAGGGAGTGTGTTCTGGGTCAACGCTTTCCTGCCACTGGCGTTATCCGCCACACACACACACACACACACACACACACACACACACACACACACACACACACACACACACACACACACAGACATATTTCAACAAGACTTCAAGAAATACGGACAGGAATAAGTTTAGCTGCTTTAACTGAGAGTCTTTTACTTGAATTCTCTCTCCTGACCAGCAGGGGGCGACTCCTCTGCTCCCATAGACGTCTATGAGGAAATGACTCTACTTCTCTGTAGTGACCAGCAGGGGGCGACTCCTCTGCTCCCATAGACGTCTATGAGGAAATGACTCTACTTCTCTGTAGTGACCAGCAGGGGGCGACTCCTCTGCTCCCATAGACGTCTATGAGGAAATGACTCTACTTCTCTGTAGTGACCAGCAGGGGGCGACTCCTCTGCTCCCATAGACGTCTATGAGGAAATGACTCTACTTCTCTGTAGTGACCAGCAGGGGGCGACTCCTCTGCTCCCATAGACGTCTATGAGGAAATGACTCTACTTCTCTCTGGATTTATTCCCTCAGTAAACATTGTAAACATAAGTTTATGGTCTCAGTCTCTAGTTTAAGTCTTCTTCAACACATCATGATGTTCACCAAGTAAAGAGTCCGGCAAACTGGATGCTTTAGGGCGGGGCTAAACGCTGATTGACAAGTCTTTACCAGAGACTACCATGGTCCTCCTCAATCCAGATTACTTCCTGTTTACTGGCTGCAAAAAACAATATGATAATGGCTGTAATCCAAGATGGAAGCATTGCGCAAGCTTCATAACTACAGTCCACAAACCAGTGAGTGACAATGTTGACCTCCTGACCTGAAGCAACACACCAACAAATGCGTGTCGCCAACACGAGGAACGAATCCTTGATGTGTTTATTACCAGCTGTGAGTGAAGCCGGCGTACAGTAGCGTTTACGAGGAGAGCCTGTGGCCCACGGGACGGATGTGAGGGCCAAAGTCAGAGACAGTCCCTCCATTCATCAACGGTAGAGGACACAGGGTGAAGCATATGACACACAGTCACGCTTCATGCATCCCGACCACCTTCTGAACATGACAGATCTCACTAATGAATCAAACACAACTTTAATAATGACTAATCTAACATTGAGGATGAAAATTGAATTAATGGCCGCAGTAAAATAATGACAAAAGGTAAAATGGTTGTAGGTTATTTGACATGTAACACTGGTTTATTATTCTACCGTTTTTACTACTTCATTCTCTTTACTTGCATATTGTTTATTGAGTTTTAAACAAAGTAATAAACCGACACGCACCGGCCGTGTCCCGCGTCACGGTGCCCGGATGAACGCTCCCTCTACTCACGCCCTCGGTCTCGGGAAGCCCATCGACAGCAGCACGTCCAGGTCGGAGCCCGACGCCTCCGAACCCGCCCGGTTCTGCCGCAGCCTGCGCGGGACGATTCTGCTGTGCAGGTCCTCCTTGGCGGCCATGGTCGAGAGCCCGGTTCCTCCGCCGTCCGCCTCCGGATGGTCCGCAAGGTCCGCATGAGCGGCGAGAAGCGAATGAGCCGAGCCGAGCGGAGAGCACCGCCGAGCGGCCGCAGAGGGCAGGCAGAGTCCGCTACTCCGCCCACCGGAGGAAGAGCAGCGAATAGATCCGCTCCTCGGGGCTTTACAGCCGGGTATCCGCGGATCTACGCGCGGGGGCTGGAGGCGCACAACGTGGGACTCAACTGTGTCCGTGCTTTTATTCACAAGGAAATAACATATAATATTAATAAAAAAGGAGAATTGCACATCTGGAAATATAGACGGTATGTATTAGGGCCTTTTTGCAAATAATCTTGATTAAAAAAATAAAATAAATTATATATATATATATATAAATGATATGTATATATATATATATATATACATACATTTTTTTAATCAAGATAGTTACATTCAAATAGAGAAATATGTCTTAGGTTGAACAGCATACATGACAAAACACTATCAACTATAAACTGTTTTTAATTTGTGTACAATAAATTACATGAATTATACAAAGATAATGTCCACAGAGCCTCTTCAGTAATGCATCACATGTAGAAAAGGAATTACTTAATTTTATTTTGGTTGATACATTTGACACAATATGGTAAATTACAGTTTGTATTGACTTCTGTGTGTATAAAAACGAGGAGAAAAAATAAATTTTATTTTCCCAACATTTACTGTATTAATACCGTAAACACTGCGTAGTAAGGGAGGAAAACTAATTCTGCATGTTTTCGTCAGTAATGTCCTCCGGTCCATAATACTGCAGATGTATGAACACTACAATATGAATACTACAATACTTTCATCAGCAGACCGTAGACTCAGTCACCACCGTGATATGAAGTCAATTAACACACATCATTTAAAGGAAAAAACATTATATATCAATGTGGCCTCGTGGTGCACTTCCTCAAATGTGATCTCTTCCGACTGACCCGAGGTCAGCGGACGGGTCGTAGGGCGCGATGACACAGAAGACACAGCCGGCCTCCTGGAAGGCCGCTCTCATCTCCACCTGGTGGACCAACGGAACATCTGAGCTCAGAGCCAAGGAGCCGCAGGTCAGGTCACATGACACATTATGGAGCCTGAGCAGCAACATGAACCCAACTACTCAGTCGGATTATATAGTATTATGTAATATAGTGTCATACTTATTCATTATACCTTTCATAACGTATTTATTATATCTTTAGTATTGATAACCTATTTTTTTATACCTTTAATGTGATTACCTACATATGATAACTTTCAACGTAAGACGGAAAAGTTACGCAAAGATCTGTCAAAGATCCACAGATCATTAATTAATAAGAAGTAACTCTGCATGCGAATGTGAGCGCAGTGCTGTCCTACCAGTCTGGTTCCATCCAGGCACAGGCCCACCACGGCCCCCCCGCTGCCCGGCAACTTCACCGCCGAGCCAAACTGCAAAAAGGAGCAGCGAGAACTCAATGAATCCTGAAGGAAAAAAATACTGTGAAAAGTGTCACACATGTTGTGCTCATGGCACTACTTCTTCTGCACAGTGGTAGTAGTAGTAGTAGTAGTAGTAGTAGTAGCGTATTACTACAGTTTGTTATATAATAACCAGCATTAGTTTAAGTGTCTGTTCTATCGATGCTCTCGGTTTGACCACCAGACTAAAACAAACAGCAACTCAACCCCTCAGAACACAGGTCATGTTGATCCATCGGTTAGTTAGTGTGGGTTAACTAACCAAAGTCACACAATGACTAAACAAACTGATGGAGGATGTAAAATCCCTGGTTTTCTCAATGGAGTCTGGCGGTCGTATATCCTGGTAAACCAGTGGAAACCTTCTGGATGAAAGAAGCGAAGGCGAATCGTAAACTGGTCTTGGTGGTCTCTGGTCTCCGTTTTGGGGTCCAACATGTGTTCTACAGGGAGCCGCACCGTCCCTTACAGAACCCACCTGCCTCGCCAGCTCAACCATCCTCAGATTGCCTGGACCCAGACACGCGTCGGTGTACACAGACCTGTAAGGAGACGCGGTTACTTCAGCGGTCAGCGCGACACGACGGCCTCACGTCGCCACAGAGGCGTCCTTTACCTCCGCAGATCGAAGTTCTGGTCCATCAGCTCCGCCAGGCACCGCCAGTCTCGGTCCTGCAGAGCCGCCCTGAGGGGAGGACAACACGAGACGCTCTGAGAGGAATCCCGTGGTTATTCATAGCTCAGCAGGGGGACGCTTGTATTTTCTTTAACAAAGTCTTCATGGTTGAGTCCTCCAACCGACCTGGCCTGATCGGTGAGCTCTGCGAAGGTCTTCATGGCCTCGACTACCAGAGGTTCTCCTGAGGAGACACAAGGCCGCATCACAGCAGTGCAACAAACGCACCAGCGTTCAAGTTAAAGGCAAAGCGGCTTACGCTAAAAACATGGAGCACTATTTGTCTGAAATGTGTTACTCATTAAATACAGAACAAGACAAAGTCGACTTCAGTTAGTTCGGGTTCACAAAGCGACACAAACTAACTGACAAACAACCGTCTTCTGTTTCTCTCCAATGGAGTCTGAACTATTCTCACTTTACCTTTTAAATGTCCACCTTTGCTTCAGGTGTGTGAGACAAACTGCTTCTTTTAACTAGACGGACACTTCAACATCTGATCAGGAGAACTTTAAATTCAGAACACACATATAATTAATATATATATATATATATATGAGGACCCACCACTGAGCCAACGCTGCCTGATGTTGCTGTGGATCCGTCCGGAGTCGCTGGGGTCACTCAGGTAAGCCAACCAGAACGGTGGCAGCCCGCTCATGTCCATGGAAACATAGTTACCTGGGACACACACACACGCACGCACACACACACACACACACACACAGGAACACAGAGTTCAATGTATTCGTCTCTTTGGCTTCCAGGGGCTGAGGCGTTGCCTTCCGTACCGTAGCCCTGCTCCTCCATCAGCTTCTTGCCGAAGTCCATGTAGACCAACCCTTCGTAGACCTGAGGAGGTAGAGGAGGAACTCTTCATGCTCCCGCAGGTATTCGAGCGGCGGACCAAAGGAGAGGCGGCGATGTCACTGACCTGGACCACTCGGTCCTGCAGACCGGCTGTGATGAAAAGCTCCTCGGTCTCCACGTTGAGGATGAAGTTGGCTCGGATCGACTTTGGAAGATCCTGGGAGGAGAAAATATCAATATATAAAAAGCTTTTTATTTAATACAGATCCTATTTCCAAAGATGTAAAGAGTAAAACGTGAGCTTTTCAAAAGGGCCCCGGTGCTCTGAAACACTACTGCTTCTGTCCACAAGGGGCGCCAGAATCAGCTCTAAATGAAAGTTCCTTGTTGCAGAAAATATATAAAATAAAGAAATAAAGGAAACAAAGAAGTTTAGATATTGCAAAATATCTAATTTCCCCTGCCCCCCAAATGTGCTATAAAAGGACATATAAAGTGTGTGATTTCTTCTTAGTTAATAAGTCATTTATTGTACAATATTTTCTTTCTAAAATTGCATTACTTTGAATTATTTGTGATTTGTTTGAAAGGTACCATGTGTAAATAAGTACTTGAATCCTCACATTGTCGGTGATGTTGTAGAACTTCATCAGACACTTGAGAGTAGCAGAGACGATGGCGCTGCGTGAACACATGAACGATTACCTTCACCGAAAGCTTTAGAAGGTAAGAAGAAAGGTCGGGCTGTTTACCTGCTTCCAGCGAGGCCCTGCATTAGAAAGAAAAGTCATGGTTACACTACGTTCTCACACTGAACACGGGGGCCTGGTGAGCCCAGAGGTCAGCCGAGGTCATGAGCAGCGAGGAACAAACAAGCTTTCTCTGAGCTACGTAGCTGTGATGCCACCTTCAGAAGACCTTTTCTTAGCAGCAAAAGGACTCTAACATCTCTCATCTCGAAGGACACTTGAGTACCTCAGCGAGGCACCTTCACGAGAATAAATGACTATTCCACCGCAGCCCGGAGGTGCTTCATCTCCTCCAGGCTGGTGTTTAAAAGGCTTCCTCACCACTTGACGAGGAATGTTGGTGTCGTACTTCAGAGAGAAGTTCTGCTTCGTCAAAGCGATGCTGCACAAAGAGAAGAAGAGCATTAAGTGGCGGCTTATTATTTGGTCTTAGTTTGGTTTAAAACACAAATTTAAATAAATGAAGCTCAATTTATTAAGGTCAGACAGTCAGCGATCAAAACTCAATCCAGAAAAGACGTCACTCGGTGAAGAACCTTCCCGAGCCTCCTTCAGAAGTTAGTCTCACCCTTGGTTGGAGCAAAACTGGTAGAACTTCTTACAGGTGGCCTGCAGCAACCGCAGACCTCCCAAGTATCTACAGAGGAGGAGGGGGAACGTTTAGAGGAGCAATCAGAGGAACATCTAGAGGAACGTCCAGAGGAATATTTAGAGCAGGGGTTCTAAAAGTATCCCTGGTCTCCATCAAGCTCCATCTAAAATGTTTTGTTGTGGGTATTTTTTAGCTCGAAACACTTTCATTATTGTCTGTAGAAATTAAAATGACAATATTTAAGCCCAAAAATCGTATTTTACCACAGTTGAAGATAAATGTGTGTCTCGTTAGGGAGGCAACTGTGTGGTAAGACGCTTCAGTATGTGTCACCAAAGCTACGATGCTAGCTACGTTGCTAGCTGCGTTGCTAGCTACGTTGCCAGCTACGATGCTAGCTACATTGCCAGCTACGATGCTAGCTACGTTGCTAGCTGCGATGCTAGCTACGTTGCTAGCTGCGATGCTAGCTACGTTGCTAGCTACGATGCTAGCTACGTTGCTAGCTAGCTGCGATGCTAGCTACGTTGCTAGCTAGCCGCCTGGCAGCGCACTGCAGACAGAAAAGGCCTCCGACCTGAAAGCAGCTTTGGGCCAACAGTCTTTTTTCACGAGGCCGCTGATTAAAAATGATTTTAAAAATGAAGAACAATAAGGCTTTTTCTGACGAGGAGGGTTTAAGAGAAGCAATGATGCTAGTTGCTAACACTCGGTTTAAAGACGAGAAGAATGGTGTCTGACATGATTAGTGCTGTCAATTCATTCAAAGACGAGATAAACTTTTCCCTCCCTCCCCAGTGTTGGAGGACGATGCTCCTGCATGTGGGGCTTTTGACAAAGTTGTACAAATGTACTCTCAAGTAATGAACCGACTAGTAGTACTGTATGTATAAAGGAGATGTGATACCTCAGACTTTCTAATGTTTAAATAGATTAAGAGAAATTAATGTTCCATCCCAGAGGAGCGTCCAGAGGAGCGTCCAGAGGAGCGTCCAGAGGAGCGTCTAGACCCTGGTCCTGGTCTGCGTGCGCAGCTCATCTTAAGTCCTCGAGTACACACCCTTCCTTCCTGCTGATGCAGAACAGATCCTGCAGGCTTCCGAACTCGGTGGGGTCGTTGAGCGGATGTGGGACCAGAACCTGCAGAGAAACGTTTGCGTAACTTTTGCACATGTTCCCAAAATGTAAAAGAAAAAGGTGTTTTTTGGCCAGCGTGGTTTACCAAAGTCTGGCTCTCCACCAGAGTGACCTCGGCCCAGAAGTTACAGATGGACATGGCGATGGTTTTGCCGTTGAAGCCGTCTGACGGGTTCCCCATCAGTCCCACCCTGAGAGGAATCCATCGGGTGGTGTTTGAACATTTATGTATTTCATAAGTCATCGTCCTCAGAGTTCAGGCGGACCTTCTGTCCTCAGGGTGAGAGGCCATGTTCACGACAACGCGCCGACTGAAAACAGCCTCAGTAGTCGGAGGGCTTTTCTCACCTGGCGAAGGATCGGCAGGTGATTGGTTTGGCAGGAGCGCCCTGTTGCTTGGTGGAGTAGTGGGTGAGCCACCTGGTGTAGTCCGACAGGCCCTGTGTGAGGACAGCAGACGATGTGAGAGGTGGACGTTGTCACGGGGACCTCACTTATTGCTGTGGGGACCTTGCGGTGTTTCCCGTAGGTTTAGATCTTTGGGGCGGCGGATTGGCCGATGATGGTCTCATGGTCTTGTATGAGACCAGAGGAGTAAATTGACAATGAACTGGTCTATTTACTCAAAGCTGCTCCGAAGTTAAAAAGGATCTCTGGGACTTGTTTCATTTTATGAAATAATCAAGGACCAACTTTGTTGTGGCTCTTTGGAAGAAACAATATTTAAGTGTTAAATCAATGGACCACAAAGCTAAAGTGTAGAATAAATAATGTTGGTGTACATTTAATGTGTGGAAAAACATAACTGATGCTCTGAAATACGAACCACTTGTCCAATGAGCTGGAAGCCGGTAGGAAGCTTCATCCCAAACACATCGAGCTGCTTCTCGTTGATGAGCCACTCCTGAAGAACATCAGCACCTTTTTGTTCTCCTCATAATACATGTACAGTGACGATTGTCCAACCTCGTCATAACTAAAAGATTTGTTAAAGAAGTTAACTTATGTGATTCAGGTTGTAAAAGGAAGTCGTGTAGCATTAAAGCGACCGTGAGGAACCTTCGTGTTGTGTGGATTTAATATTATTTAAACACAGTAAACCGTCCCTCTCCGTCTCTCTGTCTCTCTCTGTCCCTCTCGTCTCTCCGTCCCTTCGTCCCTCTCCGTCTCTCCGTCCCTCTCGTCTCATAACTGATAACTTCAGGTGTTCACCTGAATGTTTCTGCAGCCAGATTAACATATTTGTCTGTTGAATGAAGTTAGCTGTTAGCTCACGTTAGCTGCACAAAGTAGGCTAACGTTAGCTAGTGTACATAAACGGAGGAGCTGGAGTGCATTAATTTATTGTACGTTTTTCCTTTTACATTTTAATCTTAAAGGGGTATTTTTAAAATTCATGTTGCTCTTGTGTGTAAAAAAACCCTATTTTTATCAATTATATTTGATATTATTACACTATTAGACCGCCAGTATATTTTTCCTCTCTCGCAGCCCCTGGAGGCCGCTGGTCACCCCGGGGGGGCCGCACCACTCTTTGGGAATACCCGACGTAGAGGATCAGGACTAAACCGAGACTCTTCCAGGAACTTTAACGGTAGAGAATCTGTTTTAGGTACAAACCCAGAATCGTCCGAAGGACCGGTCCTTGGCTCGGGTCTGCAGGAGCAGGAAGTCCGACAGGGAGGACAAGGTGTCTCTCTGGATGCAGTAGAACACCACGCTGGCGAGCCGGGACGTCGTCTGCCCTTCATGTGGTTTCTCAAAGAAGCGATTTATCCTGATTTATAAAACAGAATAAAATCACATTTGCAACAGTGACATGATGCACGAAGTGTGTGTGTACGCGCCCCCTGGTGGTCACTGCAGAGAATTAACACTAACACATCATTTCAGCGCTGCTCACAGCGTGTGGTGCATTGTGGGACTAGAAGGAAGCGGCTCACCTGTGGGTGTCCCTGCACACCTCCACGATGCCCCTGGAGCTGCTCTTCTCGCTTTCCTCCAGCTCGTAGTAGATGATCAGCTCTCCGGGCTGCGGCACACAAACCCACTGCTCACCACCACACAAGATCACCTATTCGACTCCCGCCCGCGACCACGGCGGATAATCACCTCCGACCTGAAGAAGCGGATGACCTGAGCCACGTCAAAGTTCTGGTCGGCGCACAGCATGTCTCCTGCGATCTGAGAGCCACAGACATTCGGTTCAGTTCCGGTTCTAAAGGAAAAACGTGACACCGCGCCGGCGACCGCCGTACCACCATGACGTCGTCCGCCAGCCGGCGGCTGCGTATGGCGAGCTCCAGGTCGGCCACGGCGCCGAGGCGGTCCTCCAGCGTGGTGCTGCCGTCGTTGATGACGTTCTCCACCGGGAAGTCGTTGGCTGTGGCCCAGCGCTCGAAGTGCTTGTACCTGAGGACGAGGGGCCCCAGGTGACTCACCTGGGGCCCCTCGAACGGGCGCCGCCTCTGCTCCGTCGCTCAAGTGCATCATTACGGCGTTACTGAATAACTCATTTGGGGATCTCCATCTATTTGGGCCTTATTACTATTAACTTGTTTTTGATAAAACCCTCATATCGCTAATTTGTTCCCTGAAGAAGCAAAGTGTTCATGAATTTGTTTATTCCAGGTTACTGTTAATTCCCCTTAACTTTACATTTCTACTTCACTTTACGCCCCGAAAAATACGTCTTCTTTTAGTTCCCTCAAACTTTTAAACTTAAAATGCAACATGTCTGTTCCCATTGTGGGGCGGCACGGTGGAGTGGTGGTTAGCACTGTCGCCTCACAGCAAGAAGGTCCTGGGTTCGATTCCACCCAGTGGCCTTTCTGTGTGGAGTCTGCATGTTCTCCCCGTGTCTGCGTGGGTTCTCTCCGGGTTCTCCGGCTTCCTCCCACAGTCCAAAGACATGCTCTGGGGATCAGGTCAATTGGGGACTCTAAATTGCCCGTAGTTGTGTGAATGTGAGTGTGAATGGTTGTCTGTCTCTGTGTTGCCCTGCGATTGGCTGGCGACCAATCCAGGATGTACCCTGTCTATCGCCCGAAGTTAGCTGGGATGGACTCCAGCCCCCCGCGACCCTGTGTGCAGGATAAGCGGTCTGACGATGGATGGATGGATGTTCCCATTGTGTATTTTTTGCTCTCTACCATTTAACGACGAATGTATTTAGCATCACACGCGTTTACTTGACGCAACACGTCCCGTTCTGGACTTGATGAAAGTCGCTATCGTCGCCTTAAAAACAGAAACTCGATTGGACGGGAACGTGAAACTCACTTGTCTGCATTAGTGACCAGATAGACTTCTGTGAACAGCTGTCTCCTGCAGAGGGACCAGAGAGGAGGCCGAGTGTCACAGAGCCACACGGAGCACCAACTGCAGATGTTGGGTTTGTTACGCACATGTTGACCGTTTCCCACCAGAAGTCCAGGATCTTCTTTCCTCCGGTGCCGGGGAGCAAAGCCTTCGGGACTCCGGCCAGCTGGCTGTACAAACCTGTGTCATCGTTCTGGATGAGGGGGGGGAGACATTTGAGCTTTATTTTCCCTGTCAAAGGAAACTTTCGGCATATTGTATAATATAGAGGGCTTTCAGAGAGAATATAATTCTTTCATTGGAGGATGCATCAACATCCTCTCCAACGGCATAAAGTGGTCTCTTGTAAAAGAAGTTGCATCACTATCAGCTGCACGTGTCACCCCTAAAGCAAGGGGGCACCAGTAGTGGGAAGAGAGCCCAGAGAGCCCAGCAGGCAACATTTATTTGGCTTTTAAAAAAGCATCATCAATTTGTTGGTTTCCGAGTTGGTACAGATATTTTTTTAATACACAAACCCCCACCATTTTTTAGAGGGATAGGAGAACAAATAGTTTGCACCCTTTTAAAAAAAAAATCTAAAAGTGATCACCTTTAAATTCCTTAGTATTAATCGTGGGGGGGGGGGGGGGGGGGGCACAAAGTCTCATGTAATATGACTTCGACCCGGTAAAGGCTGTACCGTATCAGATGTGTCCCGAATTCCCCAGTGGACCCCCCCGATCCAGAACATGTCTTCCCCGGTGGTCTGACCGGTACCGACGCCGCATGACAGCTATCCCAGAACTCAAGTAGCAGATTCTCTAACGCAGTCCGGCGCACGGGAACCCTCCGCCGCGTGCCGAGGTGGACTTTGCCCCTCCTCAGGTAGGGTCCCGTTTCGGTCCCGGTCCCGGTAAACCTCACCTTTATCTGGGCCTCTAACACGGTGCCGTGACCGGCCACCAGCAGGATGCAGATCATCGCCGACGCTCCTTGTGATCGATTACCGCCGTGCAGATATTGACGAGACGCGTCTGCGACCGCTTCTCCCCGAGGTTAGTATCCTTCCGCCTGCGCCTTCACAATAAAAGACTCGACCACTTCACAGAGAAGAGTACTGCGAGCAGAAGATGTATTCGGTATAAATAGATGGAACTAACACAAGTAAACACCTGTATACTTATACACTTAAGAATATGGGGAAAAGAAACACGTCTACATGGTTTAAACAATTTACCAACTTTAATAAACACAGCTGAAAGTGGCTTATGACGCATACATTATTTCATGTTTTTTTATTTGTTTATTAGAAAGACATAGCCTACCTACAATGCAATGCTTATCCACTACCCCCCCACACCGTTTATTAAGTGAGTTACATTGTTGCAATGTAATAAGCATCCCCCATGAAACGTACAAAAACAAAATACAAAGCAGAAAAGAAGAGCGGGACAGTCGAAGCTTGGGTACAAACGTTTCTACGCGAGTGCATTTCATACAGAGAAGAAGGTTAATATGAAGATGAGACGGTGGCGTTTAAGAGCGAGCTGTTCTGGAGGCTAATAAACATCTCCCCTCTTATCGGGTTTTATTGACCTGATCATATTCCCGCTCGTGTGACGAGGCGAAGAAGCCCGCATGAGTCTCCCGAAGCCTCTGCAGAGATTCGGGGTCCCGGTTCCTCACTGGGGCTCCGTGCTGGAGGAGCCCGCGATGCCGTGCTGTCGCAGCAGGTTCCTCAGGATCTGGTTCTTGGACTTCCAGTCTTCCACCTGAGCGGCGACACAGAGGTTAGGAGGTGTTAAGACCCCCCCCATCACACTTTAGCGTTAACGTTCAGGCTCCGGTACCTCCTGGCGGAGCAGCTGGTTGTCGACCCGGAGGCGGTCCAGAGAGCCGATGTCGTCTCCCAGCTTCAGGTTGCTCTGCCGGAGCTCCTTGATGTACTCGCAGGCTTTGGACAAGATTCCTCCTTTACTCTGAGGAGCAACGAGCAGCACAAGTCAGCACGCCAATCTTCCTCAGTCCTACTTTAATTCAAAGCATTTTCTTCTTATTCAGTAATAAATAACAACAAACAACTTTAGAAATAAACATCAACGTGAGTAACATCTCACATGGAGGTTCAGATATTCAACACAACCAACTAGCTATTCACTTAAAATGCACCATTTAATACAAGAAGGTCGTCAGGTCACAACGCTCTCACTCCTTTTATTATTATTGTTGTTAGTTAGTCTGCTACGTGGAGCAGTACCAGTACTTGTATCGGTCTATGAGTCGAGCTTTGAACATTTACTGATCTAAAGAAGCCGTTCATTCAAACATGTACCTGTGTGAGCGAGTCCTTGCTCTCTGAGCTCACCTGTCCCGTCTTGGTGTAGTCGATGTTGCAGTCGGGGATGACCTTTGACAGCTGCACTATCCAGTTGTTGATTTTGTCCCGGCGCCGCCGCTCAACTGTTGGGAACAACAGCGAGACTCTTTAACACCTTCCCACCCGCCGGGCGCTTCTCTAGTAACTAATCCACGCCGCGCCCACTGACCTTCGTTGTGCTGCGCGCGCCGCTTGTCGTCTCGGGACCCGCGAGGAGCCTCCTGCTTCCTGGAGGACGGGTGAAAACAGAGTTAAAGAGCCGCCAGTCAGAGGGTTCTACCTGAGGACTCTAGCGGCGATGTCATTACGCGCTGTACGGCTGAGAGCGAGGGGCGATCGTCCTCTGGTTGCACCCGTTCAGGACGTCCTGGGGGGACATCATCACGTAGACCTGCCCTGTCAGAGTAAAAGCTCAAAATCAGAGGCTTAAAACGACAAGTCGCTCAGTCTAGGTAATAAGACGACTGCGGTCAGTTTAACGCACACAAAGTCATGAAAAAGTCGTGCACGCTTTTATCTTCTCGTTTGGACTCCCTGTATGTCGGTATCGGCCGATCAGAACTCAACCGTCTGCAGCTGGTGCAGAATGCAGCGGCCCGTCTCCTGACGGGACAAAGAAACACGGTGCGTTCCTCTCCACCGGCGTCCCGTTGGGTTCACAATAGATTTTAAGAATCTTTCATGTGTTTTTAAGTCTCTGCATGGACCGGTCCCAGAACATTCATTAATCAACCCTCCCTGAGGTCAGCTGACCAGCTGCTTCGGAACGTTCCTTAAAACCAAAGCAGACGGAGCCTTCGCAGTAGTGGCTGTTTCCTGTGCGTTCTGCGACCTTTCTACTTTTAAAACTCGCCTTAAGACCCACGTGTTCACCTTTGGCTGAGTTAAGTCGCCTGTGTGGGATCTTTTATCCGTTTGCCTTTCACTGTTTTTGCTCGTATTGTTTATTGCTGCTGATTATTTCATCCTGTAAAGCACTTTGGCCTTTAAAAGTGCTTTAAAAGAAGTGCTTTACTTTATAGAAATAAAAGTTGACATTGACACAAAGGAACCGGGGATCGTCTTTGCGTTGCTATGGTGACGAGGAAGAGAGAGGACGCAGATACTGTGTGACTCAATTCATGTGACGAGAGCAGCGATAAACAATGGAATGGAATTAACAAGCTAGCTAACTAACTAGCCTGCCAGCTAGCTGGTGACGGGTATGTTTTGGGGCGGGGCTACACGGCGATGGACTTCATAGGGAACTTCTGTCCGGTTCACACCCCGCTCGTGTTTCCGTGTCTCGGCGGTATTTACCGGTGGGCGTGGTCTGCCCCAGCAGCGAGTCAGAGGCCTGCACCGTGGTCACCATGGTGCCCGTGGTGGCGTCGGCGATGGTGGCGGGGTAGTACGTGTACTGCGTCTCGGCGGCGGCGTCGCCCTCCGGCCCGTCGGGCTGAGAGAACACGGCCTGACGGCGAAGGCGCGTTAACTCAAGCGGTACAAAGGAATGTCAACCGACATCACGACCTAAAGGCGTCTTCAAGAGTGGAGCGCGGGAACCGACTGAACGCCACCAGCGAGAGGCGGCTTCCCATCATGTGTGACCGCACGCTACTTCATGAGAACACACAAGTCAAGCACCAAACACAAGGTTCAATACGCATGTCGATTGATTAGGGGCTCCTGTCTAAGGACTAATTGTTTGTGTTTGCAGATAAATACGTGTGTGCTGATTCATGGGCACGCCGCTCACCTGGGTGATGTTCGGATTGGTTGTTGGGAAACCCGAGACCAGGCTGACGGCGGCGCCCCCGTCCGTCTGCCCCTCCAGCTGGCCATCGGACACCTGGATCACTCTGTAGGTCACCTGTATGAACGGATCGTCGCCACGGCAACGCGTTTACAGATACACCATGGGGCCAAGTGGGTCATGAGGATCAAATATAAATCTGTTTGCATGCTCGCTGTGGGAATAGAAGCCCTCCCCCCACCTGGCCGCCGGCCCCCTCCGTCTTGAAGAGGTACTTGATGGGTTGGTCCGTGTAGGTGGCGGCTGACTGGATGGCGGCGATGGCTGCCGGGTCCTCAGCCGTGGCTACAGAGCCTGACGGAGCACAAGGTCCAATGTTATTCAGCCACAGGGTGGGCTCACATAGATTATTACAAATGTCCAAAATAAAACCAGATGTGTTCCAGGTCCACACAGCCACGTGTGCTGGTTATGGATCAAATGTCTTCAACCGTCAAATGCTTCTTCTCCTTCAACCCTTCAGCTACAGCCACCATTTAAGCCTTAATACATTGGCATCTAATTAAACAGAAATAATCAGCTGGTCGAGATCTATTCCACGGATTATGTTTCATGAGCTTTTCAGACTGTTTCTGGGATTTGCGTTGGTGTGTATCGGACAGCAGCTTCTGGATCAGGGAGAATATGTATATTTCACCAGCATTGCCACAATTTCTCCTCTTCATGCCTCTTGGTTTTGGATCACTAGCTAGGAAGGTGTGCGCTGGATGTAGTCATGTGGCTGTGGAAGCTAACAGAAGCTAAGTGGAAGCTAACAGACTTACACAGTCCCCCACTCGCCCCATGGAGACCAATGCAAACTGGTGATTCATTTCTCAGAGGAAACAAAAGGTACAAGTTTTTTAAACTGCCGGTAGAGTCGGATTTCTCACCGCACAGAAATATAGATCATATCTCCGTGCCATCACCATGACAACCACACACACACACACACACACACACAGGAGAAATAACGATCATGACGTAGAAACACAGATCATGTGAGTAACCGTTTATGTTAATAAAGTTTTCCTCTGAACCGGGTTGTTTGTTGTTGTGCGTCTGCAGGACTCACAATAACACAGGAAGCATCGGAGACGCTTCTTTGTAGCTGCAGACTGACGTCACTGACAAGCGTCGAGTCGATTCACTAAACACCGCCTTGTCCTTTCCTGACTCCTCATGAACTCTCCTACCCACCTTTCCTCGACCCCGTGACGTTTCTCACAGGTGGAGGAGCAGTGGTTAGAAGGTCATTTTTTGACAGTTCAAACTCAGCCTTTGATCGGTGTTAATTAATTAGTGGAGCTATTCAGTCCTATCAGAGCGGCATCCTGCAACCCCCACATGTCCCCCCCTTCAGCACCGCTGCCTTCTTCCTGGATCCTGGGCCTTCATGATGACGTCACAATGTATGTAGCTATAGCGATACGGACACATACATTGTGACGTCATCGTGAAGGCTCCGTCACACTGACAACATTTCTTGCAAAATACAACAAAATAAACGCCACATTAAGAGAAAATACAATAAAAACAGAGCTATGGAGAATTAACTATACAAACAAGATAAAATAAGTAAGAAATACAAGAACAATGTTTGATTAAACGGTGACTGAAATGGGCTGTTTCACATACAAAACAATATACAAAAATACTTTATATACTTCTTTCCAACAGTTAAGATGACATTAATAATATACTAAAACAATAGGTTTACCTTCCTCGTTGACAGCAACACTCCCATCTGGCTCGGGGCTCTTCTGTTGGCTGCACACATTAAAATACTGCAGTTAAATGAGATACGATACTTAATTAGCTTAGCTTAGCTTAGCTCAGTTTTAATGTTGCTATAAACTAACAATGGCGGTTAACGTTAACTCCCACTCACCTCTTCATCGCTGCCGACGGTCGTGGACGAGGAGACCCACAGCCAGACTGAGACACAAGTTCATTAGCGTGACGACGAGACGGAAGAAAAACTTCGATCGAAATGGAACGATATCGATCAGCGGTGTGATTTTTAAACAGCGACGCGCAACGAAAATGTAACCTGAACGGTGTAAAAGCGAAGCTCGTAGGCAGCTTAGCGGGTAGCAACGGAAACTGTATCCGCCTTCAAAATAAAACCAGCGCTTTACAGAGGGACAAACGAAAAAGGGTCGCAGGGGGTGTTATGTGTGACAAACACAGTATTATGACGGAGCCTGTCCATTTAACTTGCTAAAATACAGACATACAATGGATTTGTATCTTGTGTGCGCTTTAATATAATAAATTCGTCATATATACCTAACACGCATTTTACGTTGGGGTTCCGCACCGGAAGTCACGTAGTTCACTCCGGCTAGCTTAACGCGGATCCTACCTTTCTGCTACATTGCCACTCGGCCCCAGTGGTTTTCTTTTACAGATGTTCAACTGAGCACTTTCACTTTTTTGCTAACTTTGTTAGTTCTGTTCCACGCCCAAGGATACGCAGAATGATCTCAGATGCTGTTAGGAGGGCTAGAACCCACACAAAATACCGAATTACGTTGAGTAAAGAATGAACAAAGATCTACTTACGCCGCAGTGGTCCCTCCCCCGATATTTGTCAACAGCGCGAGCCTTCCTGTCTGCAATGCGCATGCGCGACAGAATGAATTGTCGTGAATGTGATTCCCGATCAGTTGATAGAACCCTGAAAACGCGAACGCATGACGGATATCTGATCCACGGTCAGTGGTCGATACTGCTGCCGCATTCTCCGTAGACATCAAAATATTCTATATTCTACTGTCGAACATTGGGGCTTTTTAATGTAGATGTTTATATACAACTTATGAACTAGCCTACTCATTGTGTATATAATATACCTTTTAAACTAAACATGTTAAGTCCTCCCTTTGCTGGACCATTCCTGGACCCCTGCAAACAGGTCTGTGGTTCGAGTCCCGGCTGCCCCATGTCCCATGTCCAAGTGTCCCTGAGCAACACACCTGACCCCTAATTGCTCCCCGGGCAAAAAAGCCATGGGTTAGAAATGTAAATGTAAGTCGCTTTGGATAAAAGCGTCTGCTAAATGACCTCTAATGTAATGCAATAAATCACCTCTAGCGCCCGGACTATTAGGCGCCAGCTGCTTTGTCTTATAGGGGATCTGATTGGCTCACAAGGGTCACGTGAGTATAAAAACACAGCGGCTCTCAGAAGGTTCACTGGTGGTGAAGGTTAAAAGAAGCTAAGCGGGTTGAATTACAAAATACAATAATTTATCGGCTACGGATCAAAAGTGTTGTAATGTTTTTCAATCTGAGGCAAACGGCACAAAAAAGTCAACGTTTTCAATTTGCACGTGAATAAGGAAAAAAGGTTTTCTGTAGTAGGGAAAGATTTTACAAACCCAAAAGTTAAGTTAGATTCTTTTATTTATCAGCTTCGGTTACTGCCATATTTCTCTGAAAGTGATTTCCAAATGTCATTACAAAAGTCTTTAAAAGTTTAACCTTTGCCTTAAGTATGCATATATAGTAAGGCAAATGTACAACAGCTGAATGTAAAGGACCACACGTCCTCACGGCGTCCTCATGATGCACGGCGGTCCGGCCCGAGGACCGATAGGATCACCAGCGGCCACAGGAAGGTCGGAGGTCGGTGCAGCAGGAAGCCCGCGGCGCTTTTACATGGCTGCATGTAACCTGGAGAGGAAGCGCAAGAAACGTCAAAGTGAATCGACCACAAGCAGCTTGTTTGCGAAATAAATGCACACGTTACATCACAGGTCATTTAGCTGACGCTTTCATCCAAAGCCTCAGCCGACGTCATGTCATCATTCACCCATTGACGTCCATCCATACGCTGATGACAGCAGCTGCCACACACACGCAGCCCATCAGTAACTAACATCCGCTTACTGTCGTCCACGGGAGCACAAAGGCTCGAGGGCCCGTCGAGCACGTGACGCCGGGGAAAGTGTGAACGCTCAGCGAGACGTTTGCGTCTCACCTCTTCCTTTGCGACTGCTGTAGTCGATTGTGATCCGCTTCTCCTCCTTGCGGTTCCGCCGCGTCAGCACGCAGTAGTAAGTGGTGGTTTTATTCCTGTGCAGCAGGTGATGGTCGGGGATCACGGGTCTGCATAGCTTGGACTGGCTGGCCGGCAGGGGCCCGTCCGGACTCCAGAAAAGGCAGTCGAAGGGCGGCGACCCGGGACAATCCGCATAATGGCAGTCCAGCCTTCGACAGACAAACGCGACGGCACTGTTCTCAAAAGGCACACTTCATTTAATGTCGAAAGGCCGATATAAGTGCAGTGAATGTGAGAATGTGTTCGTGAGCTTCAACCTGAGGTCGCTGTTGGAGGTGCAAGCTGTCAAAAGGCCGAAATTCCCCTGCTTCAAGGTCAGAGCTGAACCTGCAGTTCAAAACATCTCATCATAGTGTGAGTCCCTTCAACAAACTCGCTCTCCATGTTCTGAGTTTAGGATTCCACTTCACAGCTGTTAAACACATTCTTAATATTCTAAAACAAGTATTTTTCTATAGTCAAACCTGAGAGCTGAAGTCCTTTGCGTGTTTGACCTTATTTTGGAAAAGATCATTTGAATCGTGCCATTAATTGTACACATGATGTCTGTCAATTTAAAAGGTCATTATTGGAAGTTAATCTCTCGTCTTCGACTGTTTACGTCAACACCATTGTTACCTTAGCCTGCTATCTAGCTAGCTAACATAGCGATGTTAAATGTAATGTTATCACGGTTTAAAGGTCATTTATTGTCATCCACCAACTTTCACACGACAAACCAAACAAAAACAGAAAAAACATTACTGTGTCATTTGCATGATGAGAAATTTAAAGCAGCAAAAAAACTATTCTCTGATCAGATAAAATGTCAACTTCAAATCAAAAGCTCAAGATGAGGAAAACGTGTCTCGTTTCAGCACCACGATACGCATCTCGACTACGTGGCCTTCAGACATCCAGACGACCCGAAATCAGACTAAGTATCTTTTCTTTAAACCAAGTTAGTCTGCTAAATGTGTTGTTGTTCTAAGTTAACGTGATTGCTAGTTTGCTTTAGCGGTCGCTGTTTTCAGTGACTGGCCTCCTCTGTTCTATCAGCTCCCTTCTTTCAGGAGACTTTTAACCTATTTCTTTACCTATATATCTACCTATTTTACCAAAGGAGTAGCTGACATACGCTCCTCTTACTCAAACCCACCTCCTATCACCTGCGTCCCACTGACTTCACCTCTATCGCCCTCGCTTTCCTCTTTCACAAGAAGAAGAAACCCACCCTCAACCCTTTTTGTCCAAAACCCTTGAACGTGTGATCTTTAACCAACTCTCCTCCTATCTCCACCGTAACAACCTCCTGGACCCCCACCAGTCAGGCTTCAAGGCCGTTCCACAGAGACTGCTCTCAGAGCACCTCCACACTGCTAGAGCTCCTCTCTCTCCTCTGTCCTCGTCCTTCTGGACCTCTCTGCTGCATTTACACAGTCAACCACCAGATCCTTGTCTCCTCCCTTCGGGAACTTGGTGTCTCAGGCTTGGGATCCAGTTCAAAACACTGATACTACCGTGCTGTAAATGGATGGGGTCCAGCTTACATCCAGGACCTGGTCCAACCCGACACCCCGACCTCTGACCTCTCCGCTCTGCATGTGATAATCTGCTTGTTCCTCCTCACTGAGAGCAAAACACTCCACTAGATCTCCACTCTCTGCTGTCCTGCTCCTAAATGGTGGAAGGAGGTCTGTGAAGACATCAGGACCACAGAGAGTCTTCACATCTTCAGACTACAGACACACCTCTTCACACTCTACCTCCACTAACACACTAACTAACTGTAGCACTTACATTGGACTTATAATGGTTCTTATCTACAGCAAGTTGTTGTAAATAATCTTATTTAATGAAATTAGACTTTCTGGTTTCTTGTTCTTCTGAGTTTGTTTCCTTATGGTTGAAATGTTCTTATTGTAAGTCACTTTAGCCTGATCTTGGACCGCAATGGGTGCAGGTCTGTGTGAAGATGTGAGGTCATCTCCTCTGGGTAGCGGAGTAGCCCAACTTCCTAGCTGTGCATCCATCTCAGTTTGGTGGCTTTTGGGCATCTTCTCAAACTTAATCCAATCCCCTTTTCTCTGATGTTACCTGATGTGTTTGAACCAGTGACTCTTCTTCTCAGCCGGGTAGAGAAGGAACGAGTGACACCTCCTAGTGCCACACACGTCTTTCCATCTACGTGTTCTCAAAGTCTTATTTTACACTGACAAACATTATATGTTGTTCATGGTACACTTGACAGGCGTATTAGACTCTCTGGCTACTGTACTTCCTTTGTTGTAGAACATTTAAAACATCTCAGCCAGATGGTTTTGACAAATGAATCAGTTTGGATTAAACGCTCTTCAATCAGTGATAAAACAGAAACAACGGCAGACGCACACATGTAAAGATGACCCGATAGTGTAACGCTGATGTAATCCAATCCCTCCAATGCGATTAAGGCCGGTTCTGCTGATGGATCAGCTCGTTACAGGAGCCATGAAGATGTTGTTTGTGTCTTCCTGTATCTCAAAGCTACAAACTCACATCACCCGCTATGATCATAGCTCATGCAGCACGAAACGCACCATTTACATTCTGTTATTCTGACATCAGCCTAAAGCAAAATCCATTTCTCTGTGATTTGCAGCGAGCTTACCAGTGAGGAGGAGCAGGAGAGACAAAGAGACGTTCATCTTCCTGATCCAACTTTTGACAAAAACAAAGAAAATGGTCACCGTGGAAAATGAAATGTTATGACCAATTTAAACCAAATGATGTGAGTTCTTTTGGCACAAAAAGGAAAACAAATGTAAACCGAGGTGTATTTAAAGGAATAAAGTGTTCATAATACTCCTCATTAAACATCATTATTGATCCCAGCAAAGAGCAGCGCTACGCAGAGAGCAGTGACCCCGTCTGACCTCATGCAACATGTAAGCAACCCTCGGCCGAGCGCAACAGTTGCAGCCTTCATGTGAGAAAATACAAAGTGTGTGTGTGTGTGATTGGAGTATTCCAGCGTCTTACCTCGGGTGTGTTCTTCTCTCCTCCGTGACTCGGAGGATGGAGGCGGTGGACGGCAGTGATCATGGGATGGGTGTGGTGGGCAGGACCCAATGAGGGAAGCAGTCTGCCGTACGCTGTGCAGGACTCACGTGTTTTCTTTTGCGAGACACTTAAGACATTAAAAGGGACAGCGTCCAAAGTGCATCTCTGCAACATGGACTGAGTACAAGTGGACGAAGTCGTTGTAACATTACTCGTTGGTTTGTTTACGGATGTTTTGAACCATCTGTTTTTTTGTAACCAGCTAATAGGAAGTAACAATCAGCGTGTAGCCCCGCCCCCAAGCGTCCCCTGCTTCATGGTCGGTTTGTCTCTAAATGGACCATCAGTCACTAAACGGACATCCTGTTGTGTTGAAGAAGACTTGAAACTAGAGACCATAAACTCATGTTTACAATGTTTACTGAGGAAATAAATCACTAAAAAGAGAAAAATTTACTTATTTGAGGATT